AGAACAGATAAGCAATTTAAATAGATATAAAAACCACTAAGGAAATAGAAGCAGTCATCAAAATCTCCTAACCAATAAAATGCCCAGGGCCAGATGGCCTCAGTGCAGAATTCTACCAGAAATTCAAAGAACAGATTATACCAATTCTTCTCAAAGTATTCCACGCAATAGAAGCAGAAAGGTCTTTGCCAAACTCTTTCTATGAGTCTTCAATAACCTTGACACCCAAGCCACACAAAGACACAACTAAGAAAGAGAACTTCAGACCAATATCCCTTATGAACATTGATGCAAAAAATTCAATAAAATACTGGCAAATTGGATCCAAGAACACATGAAAAAACTCATCCACCATGATCAAATAGGCTTCATCCCAGGAATGCAGGGTTGGTTCAACATATGAAAATCCATCAATGTAATCCACCATATTAACAAGCTGAGAAACAAAAATCACATGAACATCTCACTGGATGCTGAAAAAGCCTTTGACAAAATCCAACACCCCTTCATGATGAAGGTCTTGGAGAGATCTGGGATAACAGGAGCCTACCTAAACATAATAAAAGCTATATACAGCAAACCAACAGTCAACATCAAACTAAATGGACAAAAACTCAAGGCAATTCCGCTAAGATCCAGAACAAGGCAAGGCTGTTCCCTCTCCCCATACCTCTTAAATATTGTATTGGAAGTTCTAGCTAGAGCAATAAGATAACAAAAGGAGATTAAGGGCATACAAATTGGAAAGGAAGAAGTAAAACATTTGCAGATGATATGATACTTTACATAAGTGACCCAAAAAACTCTACCAGGGAACTGCTACAGCTGATAAACACCTTCAGGATACAAGATTAACTCAAGAAAATCAATAGCCCTACTATATACAGATGATAAAAGGACTGAGAAAAAATCAGAGAAATATCACCCTTTACAATTGCCACAAACAACATAATCTAACTTGAGGTACCGCTAACCAAACAAATGAAAGACCTGTATAGCAAGAACTTTGAGTCTTAAAAGAGAGAAATTAAAGAAGACACCAGAAGGTGGAAAGATCTCCCACGCTCTTGGATAGGTAGGATCAACATAGTAAAAATGGCAATCTTACTGAAAGCAATATACAGATTTAACGCAATCCCCATTAAAATCCCAGCACAATTCTTCACAGACCTTGAAAGAATAATAATCAAATTTGTATGGAAAAACAAAAGATCCAGGATAGCCAAAACATTCTTATTCAACAAAGCAACATCTGGAGAGATCACCATCCCTCTATTTTAGAGCTGTAGTCCTGAAAACAGCTTGGTATAGGCACAAAAATAGGCAGGTAGACCAATGGAATTGAATTGAACACCCTGATATTAACCCATACATGTATGAACATTTGATCTTTGACAAATAAGCTAAAATATACAATGGGAAAAAGAAAGCATCTTCAATAAATGGTGCTGGCATAACTGGATGCTGGCATGTAGAAGAATGCGGATCGATCCATGTCTATCGCCATGCACAAAACTGAAGTCCAAATGGATCAAAGACCTCAACATAAACCCAGCCACACTGAACCTGTTAGAAGAGAGAGTGGGAGGCACCCTTGAACGAATTGGTACAGGAGACTGCTTCCTGAACATAACTCCAGTAGCACAGACACTAAGACCGACAATTGATAAATGGGACCTCCTGAAATTGAGACGCTTCTATAAGGCAAAGGACACAGTCAGCAAGACAAAAAGGCAACCCACAGATTGGGAAAAGATATTCACTAACCCCACATCTGACAGAGGGTTGATCTCCAATATTTACAAAGAACTCAAGAAGCAAGTCTCCAAATCACCAAAGGATCCATTCAAAAATGGGGTACAGAACTAAATAGAGAATTCTCAGTAGAGGAGTCTAAAGTGGCTGAGAGACACTTGAGAAATTGTTCAACATCCCTAGCCATCTGGGAAATGCAAATCAAAACAACTCTGAGATACCATGTCACTCCTGTCAGAATGACTAAAATCAAAAACTCCAATGACAGTTTATGCTGGAGAGGATGAGGAGAAGGGGGAACACTCCTACACTGCTGGTGGAAGTGCCGACTTATACAGACTCTTTGGAAATCAGTATGGAGATTCCTCAGAAAAATGGGAATCAATCTACCACAAAGCCAGCAATTCCATTCTTAGACATATACCCAAAAGATGCACATTCATACAAAGATGTCTGTTCCACTATGTTCATAGCAGTATTATTTGTAACAGCCAGAAACTGGAAGCAACCTAGATACCCCTCAACTGATGAGTGGATAGAGAAAATGTGGTACATTTACACAATGGGGTAATATTTAGCAGATAAAAACAATGGAATCTTGAAATTTGCAGGCAAGTGGATGTGGCACTAGAAGAAACCATCCTTAGTGAGGTAACCCAGTCACAAAAATAGAAACATGGTATGTACTCATTCATTTATGGATTTTAGATATGAATCAGGGGAGGGCCAGCATACAATCCCACTGCCAGAGAGTCTAGGAAACAGAACCTTCATCTAGCGAATGATGAAAGCAGAGGCAGATACCCACAGATAAACACTGAACTGAACTCCTGGAATCTAGTGTCAGAAAGAGAGAACTTGTGAGCAAAGGAATTAAGACTGGGCTGGCTTAGCTCACAGAAACAGTTGCCCTGAACAAGGGGTAGCTCTTGGACCCCAGATTGATGACTGTGTGGAAAGCATGGGACTGACCTGTGGATGTCAGTGAGGAGGCCTGGGTAATCTATAGGGCTTTGGGTAGTATTTATCCCTGGCATACAAATAGACTTTGAGTGGCCATGCCACAAAATTGGAGGCTCTCTCAGCAGGGACTCTTGGGGAAGGGGCTAAGCCCTGCCCTGGATGAAATGACCGTCACTGGAGATCCACCATGGAGGGTTTTCCCCTCCCTGGGGATCAGAGTGGGCGTTGGGAAACCTGGTGGGGAGAGCAGGGGAGGAGAGAAGGGAGAGGGAGCTGGGATTGGCATGTGAAACAAGATTGTTTCTAACCTAAATAAAAAAAATAGTAATTAAAAAATTGTACATAGCATTTCAAGCATAGAAAAGTGTCCACTAGAAGAAGTAAAGCAAAGTTTTTATACTGTATGATTCCATTTCTCAGAATCCCTTAGAATGTGTATACTTGCAGACATAGAAAATAGAGTGATTGACTGGGGATGCAGGAAAGGGAAAAGAGAACTGACAGCTTGTTGGTATAAGGTTTCTTATTCATTTGATGAAAATATTTTGAAATTAAACCACTTCAAAGAAAATTTACCTTAAAGGGGTAAATGCTATGGCCCATGGATAATACATCAGCAGTAATAATAATAATAATATAACAGAAACGTTAACCAAAGCAAATGAAAAAGCATCTCAATAAAAACTTTCAAGTGTTTTTACAAGGAAGTTTCATATAAGTTCAAAGTCTATCTAGTATTTCCCCCAGTAATGTTTAATAATCATGACAAATCTATTGTACAAAAAAGACACAATGAATACTGTTCAAAGTCTCACATGAATCAATCTGCTTATCTTAGTGCCACAGACAAACATTAACACAGCGGAGGGTTGTTAACACAAAGAAAGTCCTAGAAACTTCCTCATCACAGTATCCCGTACTCTGTAGTAAGTGTGAGATACATTAGCTCCATTTTGGAAGGAACATCTATACCTAAGGAAGGAAGTTGGAGAAAATATGGCAAATTCAGAGACAGCATGCCAACTTGGGGTTAGAAACTATGGGAACAATAACTCTCAACTCTTTTGGGGACTCTTGCAAACAAGAAACTCTTGATGTTTTATTTGAGTTTGAGAAATAAAATGACCCTGGAAACCACAACAAGAATCTGAGTCCCTTGGATGCCCAGTTATATCCTAGTCACTGCAAGGGTTAGAATTTAGTTTTAACTCTTCTTAAAAGTGTTTGCTAAACTGAATGTTGGTGGCACACAACATTAATCCCAGCACTTGGGAGGCAGAGCCAGGCAGATCTCTGTGAGTTCGAGGCCAGCCTGGTCTACAGAGTGAGTTCTAGGACAGGCTCCAAAGCAATACAGAGAAACCCTGTCTCAAAAAACAACAAACAAACAAGAAGGTCTCCTAAGTCTCCAGTTATTTGTTTACTCATTTAAAAGCATGTCCATTGGTACTGGCAAAATGGCTCAGTGGGTAAAGGTGCCAATTGTTAAGCCTAATGACCTGAGTTCAATGCCCTGGTTCCATGTGGTGGAAGAAGAGAACTGACTTCTGAACATTGTACACAATCTGATTTTCACAAGTATGTCGTGGCATGTATGCATCTCCAAGTACACACAAACACACAAAATAAATAAAATGTCTGAGAATTTTGAAATAAAATAGGGCCATCAGACACTTATCAGCAACTATTCTAGGTTCAGGGAAGACAGGCATGAACAAAACAAAACAAACATCTTCCTCTGTCCTCATTGGATGGATGTAAATATTTAAGCATCAGATAAATGTTATGTATGTAGAATATCACAAGAAAGGAGAGAGTGTAGTATCAGAGTAGGGCAGACATTGACTTCCTGGAATAAAGAGTTATGAAGCACAACATTCCTTTAAGGATAGGTGTACTAGAACACTATCAATCCTAATAATATTGCTGCAGAATAGACACTTTAGTAGATACATTCCAAGGAATTCTTTTGATTTAACTGAATCTTATAAAAATAAAAACAGGAGGTAATGATTTCAGAGTTGCAAGTTTATGGAACTCTACTCTTTGATGGCCTGACTTCTACCAACTTGTTTATGTTGAAAGTGGAAAGACCCACGCTCTAGAACACGGAGAATCATTGTCTATCATCAGCCTTGAGTTCTTCATTAAGAAACCTATAATCAACCCTTTGGAATACATATTAACCCAAAGTTCAAAGCCATATTCAAAGCATGTGGATGGGTAAGGAGAAGATATCATAGACATCAATTATCTTGAAAGAATGTTCTTTATTTAGATGCTCAAAAATGGAGGGAAAAAGCAATGGCTGACACATGTTCATATGCTCCAATATCTGGAAAAGGAAATAGGATGACTCACAGGAGGGTTATCTGACTTTTAGAAGGAGATTAAAACAACCCATTTCAGCTGTGCATTTTGTTTCCTGATGAGGTTAAAGAGTAGAAGGGATGTCCCGCTCTTTTGCTTTTCTCATTCAAGTTCTCACATCAGACATCAGTCATCAAAAGAAACAACACATTACAAATGGCAAAACTGACATTAATGCCTCATTAAGTCTGTTGCCTGGGAACAGAACAAGGTGATAAGAGTTATTGTGGTGACAACCAAAGAATGTCTAAATCTCTTGATTCTGTTTTATTAATAGCTATCCACCCCCCACCCTGTGTATGCGCTAGTTGCTGGGGATGGACTCCAAGTACTTACCAATGAAATCCCTTCTCCCTCTTCGATTTTTGACATTTTTTCCAAACATGCTTGGTTTCCTTTCTAAATCAGCAAGTCATATACTGTTAGAAATAACCTTCAAAGTTATTGGGTAAGACTTTATTGGCTTCTTCATCTGTACATGGAATAATAATCACACAATGTCACTATCTAGTGCAACTTAGGAATGATCCTGCAGACACTTGTGGTTCACATTCTAACCTCTTCATTTTTAAACCAATGGCTAGGAGAGGTTATCTGCCCATAAGAAACTTCATATGCTTAGTATAACATCTCCAGAAGTTAAACTAGTAATGCCAACTGTGCTATTTCAAAAACTGCTACTCTGTGGTTAAAGTCAGATTTATAAATATTATTAGATTTTTCTTTTAATGTGGTAGTTGGGTGGCCCTCCTCTTTTCTGTGAGATGCTTGTAAAACATTGCATATGTCTGGTCTTTCTGAGTTTTTTATTCGAGAGAGCTCTAGGATTTGCCTTGGTATTTTGCAGTATGGAGTGACAGTATGATTACGCACTATTTTGATGGCATCAGCTTGGCAGTTACTTTGAAGTATTCTGATGACTCAGGAGTATTGATTGAAGTCTCTGCTAGCTGCATGGAAGAATTTTTTATGTAAGTACAGAGGTGGGCAGTCCATTCTCTCCTTTCGTTATACAATCACAGTCTCAAAGTAAGATCCTCATGTCTCACAGCAAACACCTTTGCCCATTGATCCATCTCATGGGCTCTAAACCGTGCAATTCTTTTTGTTTTAATTAATTTATTTTTATTTTATGTGCATTGGTTTTTCTGTCATGGGTGTCAGGTCCCCTGGAACTGGAATTACAGACAGTTGTGAACTGCCATATGGGTGCTGGAAATTGAAGCCAGGTCCTCTGGAAGACCAGTCAGTGCTCTTAACCACTGAGCCATCTCTCCAGCCCCCCCCCAATACCTTGTAATTCTTGTTCATGTGTCTGTAATTTAGGAGAGCTCCCTCTCTAGGTATTGTGAACATCCTGGTATCTTATTATCTCTCTTTCTCATTCTCATCTCGCAGAAAGATATGCAGAGAATTCATATATTTATCCAATAAACATAGACTGATAGGATGCTGTGTGGCTGGCTGCTAGTTATGAAATGACTAAAGTCCTTGATATTATAGGCTTGTGGTCTAGGTTTAAAGAAGAGTAATGACTAGACAGTTATGAGGCGGTGTGAGACTCACCACGGTGGAAGTTCAAGTACTATGGGAGCATCTTGGCTAAAGGCAAATGAGAACATTTCTGGATATAGTGGGATATGTAAGGTGAATTCTGAAGGAACCTGATGAACCAGGAAAAAAAAATGTAGGATAAAAGTGTCTCAGTAGCACGGGAAATAAATGAAATAAATGACCTAGAGACTGATATTGGGATTCAAGCTTCAAGCTGAAAATCAGAAAAGAAAAGCAGCTGGCCACTAACTCTTATTTTACCTCAGACTGAAAGGTGATCCTAGTTCTACCAAACCTTCTCAGTGTGGCTGGAAAACCCTGAGACTTCAATGTCTTCCTATCCCCAGTGTGGCAGAAGAATAAATGCTTGGTACTGAGACCTTGCTCCTGTCTTATATACCTCTCCAATGCTGGGATTAAAGGTGTGTGATCACAGGTACTGAGATCATATTTGTGTGAACTGTTTCTCTTTAGGACTAGATCAATCTTGTGTAGATCTGGGTGGCCTTGGACTCACAGAGATCCATCCATCTCTTAATCCTGAATCCTAGGATTAAAGGTGTGTCTCACCACCTTCTAGCTTCTAGCTGCTGGCATTAAAGGTGTGTATTACCACTGTCTGATCTTTGTAGCTTGAGGCTGACTTTGCTTTCTGAATCCTCAGGAAAGCTTTAATAAATTATAAATAATATATCATCACACATCTCAGATAGGCTGAAGCATTCTGGGCCTGAAGAGGTATTGTGTGCAGGATGCAGGATGCATCCACATATCCAAATTGCTGGTTAGTGCAGATGGTTTTCCAGATAGGGGAACCTTTGGTTTGACAGAACTTTCTTTGGTTCGATGAAGCTGTCTTTGGTTTGTTTGCTAGAGCTTTCTTTGGTTCAATAGACCTCTCTTTGTTTTGATAGAGCTGTCTTTGGTTTGGCTCAGTTCTTGCACTGCTGACCAGCACTTTTAGCCCCATTTCTACCTGATCTTGGCCTCCTCTCAAGTGTTTCCTTCCCTACTGTATGTTTATGTTGCTGTCAACAGGGAGAGGGTCAAGCGGTTGCTTCCTCCTGTTATACTGTCAGCATTGTTGCATGTGTTAGCACGTAGGCCACAGCCCCAGTTTTTTGTTTCATTGAACATTATTCTACTTCAAGAATTGTGAAAGCTCCTGTATACAAATAACTTAAAATTATACACAGAGATGGAAAGAGCCAGAGCCAGAGAGATAGAGACAGAGCCAAAGAGATAGAGACAGTGACAGTAGGGACTCAGAGGAGCCCTGGTCCATATTATCTGTCTCCCTTTGTTCTGAAAGAATGTTAAAAAGTTCCCAGTTATGCGTTCAGAACATCTACTGGTCATTGTAACCTAAATGGTAGAATCTAGAATATACTTTCAACAGTTGCCTTCATTTGTTGGACAGGCAGAGTTCAGAAACAGACAAGAGGGTTACCCACTGGTCCTGAGTCTGGTGGTAGCTCCAAGCCTAGTGCTGCTTTGTCTAAGACATCCTAGGGTTGACACTGACTCTGAATATTTATTATTTAAACGTTCCCAGGGTAAATTGCTAAATGTTTGGTCTAAATTGCAACATCTAACACATTTCCTGAACCCACGCCCAATGCAGGGAGAGACAAATATCGCTTTATTTATTCATTTGTTTGACAAAATGATGTTCCTTAAAATGACACGTATTAAAGTTCAATAAATAACGTTTTATTTCAGATACTGTGGAGAAGTTCATGGTTAAAGGATCTGATGGCAGGCCTTCTTTATTTTCTACTTTCTTATGATCCTTTTATTACAAGGCTCTTAATGCTGTGCCACGTACACTCTAGGCTGATGATATCTCAGAGGTCCTCCCCTAGTCCCTTGTTTGCAAAAGAATCTGCTGCTGTCATTAGTAAATGGTCCCCACGAGAATTTCAGAAAAAATGTTCCTTCAATACTTCTTACCTGTCTGCAAGATGAGATTGTACTAAATCTCTATAATTCCTCTGGATTAATCCTTTGTTTTAACTTTTTATAATAAAGTGGAATGAACAGAAATGAATTTACAGTGACTAGATGGTCAATCTCAATTCTCAACTTGATGAGATAGAGGGTCACCTAGGAGATAAGCTCCCAGGCACACCATCGGGACATGGGAAGACCACCTTAACTGTGGGCAGGACCATTCCCTGGGCAGAAATCCTATGTGCTAAAACATGGAGAAAGTAGGCTGAGAGTTAGCATTTCTTGCTCTCTGCTTACCCTTATGTGTGTTTTGTGACCTTTTCCACCAAACCCTATCTTTCTTGACCCATCCAAGACCCTTATCTCTGATGACTCTGACAGGGAGTTCTACTTCTGGATGACATTTTGTGACAATTGCTTTTATTTTCATTTCTGAAACTTAGCTAGTCTTAAAAAAAACCCACAAGGGACACAAAACAAAGTTATGTTTTCGTACTATTTTTAATGATTTACAATGGCTGTTTTGAATTATGTACTTCCAAATAACTTGTTTGTTTGGTGACCTATTACAGCACTAAAATGAAGCCATATGTCCACATGTAACTTATATACCTTTTAAAAATACACATGTGTATTTTGTCTTGTACTTAAAATAATGTGCCTGGATGTGATGTTGCCTGACAACAGTGTCTGATATCCTAATAACTGATAGCAACGTCTATTCTATTATAATTAATATAATTAATATGGAATAAGTACATACTTGTTAAGAGCACAAAGCATTTCATTCCATGCCCCCCTGTTGCTTCATTTAAAATGCCCACTGTTGATAGCATGTTATAATATACATGTATACCATATGGGGTAGTGCTTCGCCTATGAGAAAAACATCTCTCCTACTATATTATAGTTTCTTGGTTTGTGAGACATTTGACAATAATCTTCCTCAGAATGTAATATAAGAACTAGATAATAAGGCTGGAGAGATGACTCAGGAGTTAAGAGCACTAGCTGCTCTTCCAGAGGTCCTGAATTCAATTCCCAGCACCCACAACTGTCTGTACTCCACCTCCAGGGGATCTGACACGTTCATACAGACATACATGTTGGCATGACACCAATGCACATAAAAATGAAAATAAATCTTTAAAAAATAATTAAATAATAACCACAATTATAACATATCTTTACATTCCAATGGAAAAAATGGTAAATTGACAGAAACCAGGATCTACATACTTGAAGGCATCAGCCTGAAAGCTGATGTTGCTAGATCATACCAAAAATATATAGAATCAGAGAAAAATCATAAGCAAAAAATCTCAGTACATCTGGGCTGAAACCAAAAGAAGTCTTTCCAAATTCCAGCAAGTTCATCGGTTAATTCTGTTTGTCAAAACATGTACAGGCTATTCTCCCTGTACTGAAACAACAGGCTTGACATAGTATATGAGGAGAGAAAGGGGAGTTACATTAGCCTGGTTCTCACCAATACACTAAGCATCTGGAAGGATTCCCCAGGCCAGCACAGCATGGCCACTGTGAACAGTGTCCCCACAATTAGTACAGAGTAGAGACAGGGACTGGAGGAGGAGGTCCATCTGGATCATTAAAGGAGCGTGGAAGAAGTTTCATTTCTCTTTTCTTCATGTATGCCAGGGCAGGTAGGAAAATCTGCACTTAAAAAAAAATCACCGGAAGTGGCTCACGTCTTTCAGTAGCTTCCCTTTCCAGTCGTCTCGAGGACCTAGCTTCGCTGCTGAAAGCTCATCATTGTGGCATTTCCCCGCAGCCTTTCTGGGCAGCCAGACCACTCGCCATGCTTCACAGTTACCTTTGCCTTTTGATGAGGATTCCTTCATCTCCTCTGGCCTGACTTCCCCTTTGCCTCTAGGCCCCCAACCTTCATTTTTATAGAGTGTCTTTTCCAAACACATAATTGTATTTCCCAAGCCCCTTAGAGATGTAAACGTTTTATAGGGTCTCTCATCAGTTTTACAACTTAGAGATGTCTCCCAGCCATGTCTGAAATGTAATCACTAAAGGAGATAGCAGCTCTGTGGCCCTTAACTTTGTTCTGAGTTACCCGAGTGCCTCTTGTCACAGTGCCATAAGAAAGCCGACTTTCGTTTGGGAGTAAAGTCAATTAGTGAACACCAATAGGCCCTGCTCTTCTAACTCCAACACACAACTCCCCTGGCCTTTTGTTTCAGTGGAATTAAGTTTTCACTGAGTTCCAGCCTCCTTCACTATCAGCATGGTCTTGAACAGGCTGTTTTGTCTATTTAATCTTGTCCAGTGAAATTTTTTTGATACTTTGAATTTTCTACCCGAATTAACATTCTTATTTCGCAATCGTTCCTCAAATGAGATATCAAAAAGATCAGCAATTTAGAGTTTTTGTGTAGCCGGGTTTTGGTGGCACACATCTTTAATCACAGCACTAGGGAGGCAGAAGCAGGTAGATCTCTGTGTGTTCAAAGCTAGCCTGGTCTACAAAGTGAGTTCAATGACAGACTCCAAAGCATTACAGAGAAATCCTCTCTCAAAAAACCAAAAACAAGCAAACAAAATTTTTGTGTATATGTGTGTATGTGTGTGTATATGTTTGTGTGCATGTGTCTGTGTGTGTGTATGTGTTGGTGTGTGTTTGTGTGTGTGTATGTATCTGTGTCTCTGTGTTTGTGTGTGTCTGTGTGTTTGTGTGTGTGTATGGGTGTATGTGTGTCTGTGTATTTATACCATAGCATGAATGTGGAGATCACAGGACAACTTGAAAGAGTTTATTCTTTCCTGCCACTAAGGCAGAGTTCTTAAGTCCAACCACTCACTAAAAATCTGGAGACTGTACAAAACTGCTGCCGGGTTCTATGCACAGGGACTGTGATTTCATTTGTCTAGAGATGAATTAGTCATAAGGATTTTGCAAATCCTTGCTTGATTCTAATTTGCAGTGGTCTGAATCACTGCCTACGATCTCAGAGTTTTGTTTTGTTTTATTAAATCAACTCTTCTATTTCTGGATTCAGCAAGCACTTTCTGGGAAACTACTTCCTGCCAGACACTGTCTTATTACTAAAATGAATGTGGCACGGTCTCTGCCATGCAAGGAGACCTCAAAACAACGGGCAAGCAGAATATTCATGCCACATGCAAATAAAAACAACAATAAAAATTCATCCAGAGTGTGACAGAACTCAGGCGAGTTGTCAGTTAAAATTCTCTAGGGCTTATGTCTGACTTCATTAGGCTAATGTGTGTGCACAGCGAATGCTGAAAGAGCAGAGAGAGAAGACTCTAGATAAACAACAGGAACAAATCCCAGGAATCAGAAAACCACCATTGTCATCTCAAGGCCTCTGATGGTGGCACTGCTGTCACCACCACGGTGATCTCATTAGGCTAGGTTGACCAGGTATCCTGGGAAGTACTCACAGTTACTGTTGACTTTTCGTTTTTTTTCTGGAAATTTGTGTCCAAATCAATGCACTGATTTACTTGGAAATAGCAAAGGGTATTTTGTAGTAACAACAACATATCTAATACGGCTGGTCTGGGGAATAGGATCTGGCCATTGTTCCTAATTGTGAGACAAGGTCTCCTGTTAAGTGAAGCTTTTTCTTTTGCTATCCGCTTTGGTTTATCTCCCGCCAGCCGCCTGGGCTCTGTCCCGCCAGCCTGGTTCTTGATCCGCGTGAGTCCCAAATAAACACACAGGAGGCTATATTAATTATGAAGCTGTTGGCCTTGTTTTTCTCTTACTGGCTAGCTCTGCCTTAAGTAATTACCCCATAATTGTTAATCTAAGTATGTTTCTTACCAGAGAATAGTTCCCAGCGTCCTACCCCCATGGCGTCACATGTTGACTCTCCTGTGTTTCTCCTACCCAGAATCCTCCTGGATTCCTAGCCCCACCTATCTAGATTCCTATTGGCCAGACAGTGCTTTATTAGCATAAGACTTCCCCAACATCATGACACCATTATGTTAAGAGAAGCTTTTTCTTTGTGAGGAGCCGTTCCGCCCACCTGGTTCTAGATCTGCATGAGTCCCAAATAAACACACAGGAGGCTATATTAATTATGAAGCTGTTGGCCTTGTCTGTCTCTTACTGGCTAGCTCTGCCTTAAGTAATTACCCCATAATTGTTAATCTAAGTATGTTTCTTACCGGAGAATAGTTCCCAGCGTCCTACCCCCATGGCGTCACATGTTGACTCTCTTGTGTTTCTCCTACCCAGAAATCCTCCTGGATTCCTAGCCCCACCTATCTAGATTCCTATTGGCCAGACAGTGCTTTATTAGCATAAGACTTCCCCAACAGTCTCCAGTAGATGAAGCTGATCCTCCCGTCTCCACTTTCAAACTCGAGGATCTCAGGTATACATGGATATATCTATCTCACTCTGAAAGTCCTCCAACATATGTAAGAACATAGGGATGGCATTTAACTGAATTTTTTATTACATTAGTGTGTAAATTTACTTAGTCTTGCCAAACTATTCTAGAAATGATAGGTTACATGACACGTAAATTATAACGCTACTTTAAAACCCTAGGCGTAGCAGGGGTGAAAATCAATCACTCAACAACTCCCTGGTTGACTTCTTTAATTAAGGAACACTGGCTGGAATCCTAACAGCTCACATATGTGGAGGCCCTCAGCACAGTAATCACAAGGCATGACAACAGAGGAGGGCAGTCTCACATTCACAGAACCTTCACAGAAAGATTAATTGAGCCCTTGATGTGCCAAGAACAACCCTGGGAATATGACACGTGTTGTCTCTTAAGTCTAAAATGACAGTTCACTGAAGTGTTTCATCTTAACAGTGCAATTTTAGAGCATTTATAGTTGCTTTCTTTAGTGCTACGCTGAAATAACCACAGTGTGCTATCTCCAGAGGCCTTTTAAAATCTAAGTATCTATTCGAAGATCTTTTTAGGCAAGATCTCAGGTGCCTCAAACTACAAGAATATTTTACAACTTTTTTTTCAAGACAGAGTTTCTCTGTGAAACAGTCCTGGATGTCCTGGAACTCACTCTGTAGACCAGGCTGGCCTTCAATTCAGAGATCCACCTGCCTCACCACCACCAGGCCCAGCTATATTTTAAAACAAAAACCAGTGAAATAGGAGATGTTAACAATCCTTAATTACATATCAATTCCCCAAATAAAGACAGACTTTACGAAGCCTACCTACTGGAATGGGTTGATACACACATCTGCTGAATGTCTAGGAAACTACTTTTAGAGGAAACCACCTCTGTCTAGGTTTATATAGATAGGATAAAACCCAGTGTCTTCCTCATCTTTGCCAATTGACCAAAAACAACTTCTCTCAATGCAATAGAACCAATGTCAATGTAACATAATCTCTCATGTGGCTATGAAAAAATAATTAGATGATTTTGAATTTTTATGTCCCTTTTTTTCTCTACCTTATGAATGGGAATTATTTTATTTAGACTACAGCTAGCTCAATATATGTATTACGACACATCTAATTAAGGTGAAAAAAATCTGCCTTCAAGCAGAACTTGAATGACAGGTTTGAATGAAGAATATAAATGTTGAAACTCACAGTTTTTTGTTTGTTTGTTTTCTGGTTTTGTTGTTGTTTTTTCAAGACAGAGTTTCTCTGTGGCTTTGAAGGATGTCCTGGAACTAGCTCTTGAAGACCAGGCTGGTCTCGAACTCACAGAGATCTGCCTGCCTCTGCCTCCGCCTCCTGAGTGCTGGGATTAAAGGCGTGTGCTACCAATGCCCAGCAAAATTCACAGCTTAAAATTATTCTTTTAAATTATTTTTATTCTTTTCAATTAAAAAATAAAGAACAAATATCTTTTCTTTGTTCCTAGAACTTTTGTCAGAAACTCTACTGTCTATAACTAAGTCAGGTCACATACAGTAAATTGTGAAGCCACAGAGTTTGGGGGAAGCCAAAAGCTATCTTATGAAATCATTAAAATTCAACTTCTATTGGTGAGGGATTGTAACATACAGACTATCCCTCCAGAGCAAGAAGCTCTAGCTACTTCCAAATCTTGTCCAGGAGTTTCTCTGAGGCAATTACAAGGGTATATCATCTGGTAAGATGAAGGGTCAAAGAAACTATCATTTTTATGTAATAGAGAGGAAAGGCTAGTTTCTTCTTTATCCAGATGAATCCCTGGAGTGGAAGCAGCAATCACATCATTCCAATATAAAACACATCAATCATCACAGGTACTACTCTGTTTTATTTTGTTCAGTTTTATGTTCATTGAGCACCATTCAGACTTATAATTCAGCTCACTAAGGAACTTACTGATCAAGGAGTACTCAAGGGAGCAATGTTTCAATTCTTGACTGCCCTGGTTTCTCAATCAGTCTACTTTTAGCTGTAAAGCGTCAGTCTTTTCCAGATGAAATACTAAAATTAAGACTGGGGATCTCAGAAAGCCATGGATCTGCCCTTTCCTGTGATAGATGGGAATTAGCACAACTTAGAGGCTGACTTAAATAGTTCCACCTCCTTAGATGTAACTTTTAGAAATTACTGCAACTATCTATCTGTCTATCTATCTATCTATCTGAGACAGGGTCTCTCTACATAGCCTTGGATGTCCTAGAACTCACTATGTAGGGCCACGAACAGGACAGGACCTACGTCTGCCTCACAAGTGCTGGAATTAAAGGAGTGTGCCACCACGCCCAGCTAGAATTACACTTTTTAATTTAATCTGATTGTGGTGATAGGTTGAAAAGGGCTTGATTGGCTTGCTTGCCTCTCACCTCCCTGGCTCCCATATAAGTCTGAATCAGCAGACATGTATGACATGTTGTTAGTTGGAGCCCAGTGCTGTATTTGCCTGGTAGCTGTTAACAGTGTTGATAAATCCTCAATATTATGTTTAGGGAAAAGGTTCTGAAGGCCTGAGTGGTCAAGATGTGCGACTTCACCCAGGACCAGACTATTGGGGGATATTCGATCACAATGGGAGTCCCGAGTTTGCATTTGTGTTAAATAAATAAAATTAACCCTGGGTCAGGAGGCTGTGTTAGCAACTAGTTGGCAGAAAGTTATCATAGAGCACTAGAGGGCACCTGGAAAAGAGAGACACAGGAAGTAGTGGGGAGGGATTTTGAGTGGTATGACTTCTTCTGTTTTGGCAGAGTGGAAGGACGACACCAATAAAGAGAGAAGGTTAGCTAGATTATGGCATAGCAATTGTGCCGAAGACAAAAGAACACCAGACCCCAGAATGTTAGGAGGCCTTCCAGCTATTCGACCATAGAGGTGATGACAAAATCCTGTACAGCCGGTGTGGGGACATGATGAGGGCCCTGGGCCAGAATCCTACCAAGGCCAAGTTGCTCAAGGCCCTGGTGTGGACAGAAGTTTCTGTCCTGCCCTGTCCCGCTGGTGATCAGTCCCAAAATAAACACACAGAGGCTTTTATTAATTATAAACTGTTTGGCAGATGGCTCAGGTTTCTCATCAGATAGCTCTCTCTTAATTATCAACCCATTTCTATTAATCTGTGTATCTGCACATGGTCTTGGCTTACTGGTGATGCCCAGACCTTTGGCTTCCTTGGCAGCTACATGGCATCTCCTCTCTCAACTCACTCTCCGTGTTCCTCTTCCCAGTCTTCCAGTCTGCTAGCCGTACCTATCTATACTTCCTGCCTGGCCACATCCTGCCTGTCCACTGTCTGACACAGCTTTATTCACCAACCCATAACAGAAGCATATATTCACAGCATACAGAAGGACATCTCCATCACCCTGGGGGGGGGATCCCCGAGAGAGGTGAGATGAATGAGGAGGTGCTGGACTTTGAGCACTTCCTGTCCATGCTGTAGACTGTAGCCAAGCACAAGGACCAGGCAGCTGGGGTGGATTATGTGGAAGGCCTTTGTATGCTGACAGGGAAGGGAATGGCATCACCATGGGTGCTGGACTCTGTCATGGCCATGCCACAGTGGGTGAGATGACAGAGGAAGAAGTAGGAATGCTGGTGGCAGAGCATGAGGACACAATGGTTGTATAAAGGTCTTGTTGGGATGGCACTGAATAGCTGAAGTCATTCTCGTATCCCAAGCCTGTGCCTTGCCCAGTGTAAGATTTCTGTGGCCCCAGAGACGTCCTAGGCGTCCTTGTCACAGCACCTTGCCCATTTGGTCTCTTTTGGATGTTTACCTTCTTCAGATGACTTTGCTCTCAACCCTCCCACCCCCTCTCCCACATACATACATATTCAAAATCAAATTGTGTTCTTTTTCTTCCTGGAAGCACAGCTAGATGTTCCCTCCAGCATCCATTATAGTTGAATAGTTCCGTGGAGGTGGATTGTGCTGGCGGGATGCAGGGAGAAGTGGTGTGGGCAGCGTTTGTAGGTCAGGCACATAGGAACTTCCTGTATGGTGTTTTTGTTTATCTTTTTCTCCCTATCCACAGCTTCCAGACAGAACCTGGAGGTCTTACCGGAGAGTGACCCAGCACCCTTGCCCCCCTGAATCAGTTAGACCTCTGTGTAAGTAAGAACTAAACGGAGAATATGCCAAACTGCTACATATTTACACTACCTTTTTAAAGATAACTAAGTGTCTCTGACTCACACAGAAGTTTGTATGAGGAATAGGAGTGCCCGGAGTATTATCTGAAAGGAGACAATTGGCTTGGTGGTGTCAGAGTGATGAAAAGCAAGGGGTTCCTGTTCTTCAGTGACTGACAACTTGGAAGGTGGACTCTGTTGAAAAACGAGATCTAGGAAACAGGTTGGAAAGCAGATCATCAGTGTCACTGGTTGTTAATGGATGCCATTACAATGGAGGAAGAAGATGGGCAACTTCACATAAGATTTAGCTATGTTTTTCCTCGCTATTGTTTCTGCGCTGGGGTCTCGAACATGGTAAGCAAGCACTCCTCCCACTGACCTATATTCCAGCTTAACTTTGTCTGGTTTGAAAGCAAAAATTAAAAGAGATCAGTATAGTTATAATTTATCAAAGATGTATGTATTTATGTATGTATGTATGTATGTATGTATGTATGTATGTATATTTGTATAGCTTTTCTGAGACAGACATACTCTTAGGCCTCGACTGGCTTTAAATTGTACTGGGATTACAGACAAAACTCAACATATCTGGTTTATCAGAGCTATCTTGAAAATATTTTAGTTCTTTCAAAGAAGATTTTGATTGGAAAATCCAGAAAAGCCAAAAGAGAATTTGGATTATATGCAATCCCCCAAATGAAAGACAACCATTGTTACTATTTTGTGGATTTCATTACCCAGGAATTTGTACACTGTTGACTCATATGCAACATAACAAGGATCAAACAGCACAATGAGATTTGGAGCTCCCTCACCCAGCTGTTACAGTGAACAAGTCAACACTCTTTAATGCAATAAATCTATATATTCATTCTATGGATTTATTTTAATTTTAATTAAGCTCATCATAATTTGCTAAGCTTACAATTGACTCATTATATGTTATTATAAACTGAGAACATTCTGGAATATTCTTTTTTAAATTTTTATTTATTCATGTGTTCTATCTTTGTCTGCGTGCACATTTGTACACCAGAAGAAGGCATCAGACAATTGTGAGCTGGCACATGGGTGCTGGGAATTGAACTCAGGACCTTCCGAAGAACATCGAGTGCTCTTAACCACAGAGCCAGCTCTCCAACCCCATCCTTAAATATTTTTAAGGCCAAACACTTAATTCTAACATATTGCTGGAACAGGAGTTTCTGAGTCAAATGATGAATACATTTTTACAATCATTCAGAAAAAAACCAAAACCAAAACCAAACGTACCTTTTTTTCTGGTAGTGAATGCAGATTACATTTAATTTAGAAATACCTTCAAACTTGTTTCTCTGCTTTGCCCCCAACACCTGTTTTCCAACTTCCCAGTGAAAATGCAGACCAGGCCACATGCAAGTGCGGAGTGTAAACCCTTCCTTCCCATGCGTCCTCACCGCTCCTCCTGCCCTGTTCCCTGCAGCTCACACACACACACACACACACACACACACACACACACACACACACACACACACACACACACAGGCTTTCAGTCACTGTCCTGAAGAAATATGTCTTCTCTTTCAGTGCCTCTGCGTTCCCACATACTCACTTCACCTTCTCATCTCTTGTATCAGTGCTGCTTCTAGGCATGGTGCTTCCTCACAAATCTGAAGCATAAGTGTTTATTTTCTTTCTCTATTAGATCCGCTTTTGGGTTCTGAAGAGATTTGCCAATAGACAGTTTTACCTCAGTTATGTGTTCATAGGCTAGGCAACTCTGCCAATAGGTGTTCACTTCCAGTTTCCATTATCAGACACATTAGATTACCTCATGCATTGTGGACTGTCCTGTGTGTGTGGAATTGTGGAAGAAAGGAAGGAGGGGAGGAAGGGAGGGAGGGGAAGAGGGGAGGAAGGGGTCAGGGAAAGAGGCAGGGAGGGAGGGAGGAAGGGAGGGAGGGAGGGAGGGAGGGACTCACCCAAAGCTTTGTACAGGAAACTCTATCCCAAAATGACAGACAACAAAACGATAAACGAATAACATCAAAAACAGAAAACAAGGAAATGAACCTGGAAGAGGCTCCAAGTAAGAGGAAGCTTGTATTCCAGTTTCTGCTCAGTACAACCCTTGTCTACATCATCTGTACAGCAATGTAAGGCAAGCTGGACTGCAGATCGTGTTTCCAAGGCAGGGGCTTCCAGCACGTGACCAAGCAGCATGGATGATAAGATGACTCTCTGGAAGCTGCTTACTTTTGACCATATACAGGCAGGGGAAGAAGGCTGCTCAGAAAGGAATTGTAGCATTTTCTATGTGCCAGGCTGGGCGTCATTTAAACAACTTTACACACATGAACTTCAAAGGAACCCTGTAAAGTCTACACTATCATTGTCAACAGTGAGGTGGGGAGGCAGACTCACCAGAGGGGTGAACTAGCCTGTCACTGTCATACAGATTATAACGGTTACAGTGACTTGCAGAGCTGGGCTAAACTTTAACACCAGAGTCTGCATTTTGAACACTTCCTGTAAATAAGATTAGGGAGGTAGAGACCAGAACACACCTAGCAGGGATAGAACCAGAGAGACAGGTAAGGCTTTAAAATGCTTTGGGGTTGGTTTGTCTTCTAGCTTGATGACCAGGGTTCAATCCTCAGAGCATTAGAAAGAGGGAATCCTTGACCTCCCCCCCTCCACACGCATACACACATATACAGTTTAAAAACATTTTTTTAAAAGCCAGACGGTGGTGGCATACGCCTTTAATCCCAGTACTCAGGAGGCAGAGGCGGGCGGATTTGAGCATCTTGGTCTACAGAGTGAGTTCAAGGCATGCTCCAAAACTACAGAGAAACCCTGTCTCGAAAAACCAACTAGCCAATCAAACAAAAAACCAAACCAAAACAAAACAAACAACCAAACCAATAACAAAAACCCAAAACCATTTTTAAAGTAAAAAGTTGAAAATTAAAAAAAAAAACCTGAGGCCTTAGATTATATACATGAAGACAAGCTGTTACTAATAAAAAGACAAATAATAAGGGCTTTTTCCTCTCAATTTATATAGTGTTTTAAAATCAAAATCAGTATCTACCAGAAGTTCAATTGTGTCATAGTTACATTCCAAAGGTGGACTTCTTGGTGTCCAGTGCTGTTTGAAAGGGAAGTCTGGATTTGTTTGTTACTTTTTATGTCGTGGTGGACGTGTCATCTTGTACTATCAACTCACATGTTGCATGGCCATAGGGAAGTCATTCATCCATGTGCCTTCCTCTATACAGGCACAGCACAAATTTTCTATTCAAACTCTGCCACTATTACCTGTGTGGCTTTGGGCAAGGCGTGTATTCCTCCATAAAGTCTGAATATGTAATATGGTAGAGTTACTGACCATTCAAGGCTGCAGTAAGAGCAAACAAATCAAATGCCTGTCATTTGTTGCATGCTTGACAAACACTTGTCTCACGCATTACATGATTTAAAATGCAACATGGCCTATCACACGATTTATTAACATACTTAGACAGATTTCCAGGCAGCTATTTGTCTTAACAATGTCTGGGGACTCCCTATTCATGGTGCTTCAAGACAATGATCCTTCAGCTGGAACAATGTGAGTTGTAAGTATCTCTTTGTGTTATAGTCAAACTTGAAAAGCAGTCCATGTCTTAAGTGAGAGACAGTTACAGCCCCAAGACCATCATCCATCCACTCCTAAATGCCGGGGCACAGGCTAGAAAAAGCAATTTGAAGTTGATCTTGGAAGTGCTACTGAGTAGTTTTTCTCATTATAGTTTACAGTTTGGATAGTTCCCTTTTCTTCTATGGTGAGCCTCAGTGCTTCCAAACACTCTTACCCTGAACATTACAAATCACACTGAAAACCTCCTTTCTGTGCAATTGTTATGGAGGCTTTGCAGGACTGGGCTCATTCTATCATGGACTTTCTAGCAATGGATTAAAATTAGAGCTGAAAGAATTTGGAAAATTCAGGCTTAGTCCCGTGGTAAATGTGTGGGTGTAGACATGGTTTTTATTTGACATCAGATTGTTTTTGTTACTTAGCCTTGGGTAATTAAGTTTTTGAGTTGCCTGAGAAAATACAGACCCAGTTAAATAGGAATTTCAGAAAACAACAACAACAAACTTTTAGCTTAAGCACATGTCATGCAATATTTTGGACATATTTGTCATTCACCTGAATTTTCACATTTAACCATCCTTTCTCTTTTCATGTGCTCCATCTTGGATCGCATTTGTTGTTTGCAAATAGGGAATAAACTAGTATCTTCGTAGGATAAAGCATGTAATTTTAAATTGCCTTTTAGGTCAAAATCCCTTAGTAAGAGATTGTTAGATCTCTGGGAAAAAGGCCCACGGCTCACTCAGACACAGGCTGCGGCTACCCTTTCTGGATGATTTCTTGCGGAGTGAAGAAAGCTCATGAGATCGCTCTCTGTACAGAGCTGAGGTATGTAAATCTTCCTTCAAACAGCAAGTAGACACGTAAAACACTTCCTCCCAAGCGGGAAAAGCTCACTGCCTCACCTACCGCGAAAACCCGCGGCTGAGGCTCCGCGCACGCGCACAGGGACGTTGAGGCCTAGCGCGGCCCCGCCCTCTGGAAAGTCACGTGGGCGAGTCCTAGCTGAAGCCTTTGGTCTGGGTCTGTCATGTGACCGGGGTCCTTGGTTCTCGGGGATGGAGGCGGAAGACGGGACGCCGCCGCTGTGGCGGCTGCAGAAGTTGCCTCCGGAGCAGGGTCCCCCGGTGAGGGGTTGCGGGGAGAGCCTGGGAGGGCGGCGTTGGGACGTCTAGTCCTGGGCCGCTGGGGACAGATTGGCGGCCCAGGGACTTTGCGCGCGACCCGGGGGTGTCTCTGGCCTGGGTGCGTGTAGGGTCTCCTTGCATCTAGAAAGCTGTGGTGGCGGAGCCCTTGGTCTGTTGCAAGTAGGTCATTCATTCTCTGAGGTCAGGGCTCCCAAACGTCCCCTGTGAACCCTTAACCATGTGGTGACAGGATGTGGTGACACCCTGGCGGGACTGTCTCCTGAAGGGCGGCAGGAACCAACCCCTAACCAGAAAACATCTGGCCACCAACTTCTTTTTTATTGTGGCCAAAAGGTGATTGCAGTCGCAGAAAACAAATTCACAAAGCCAGGCTGTGGGGACCAGGACCAGCCAGCCAGGCTTTCCCTGTAGCCAGGCTTTCCCTCCAGGCTCCTGGAAAGGGTTTGGTGGTGGCACCCAGCCTTTGCCTGTGCGGAGCTTCTTTCTAAGCCGATTATGGCCCTCCTTCCCAAACTGTAGGGAGATTGAAAGAAACTGAACTTCACTCCTCCATTGTCAAGAAAACGCATCGTAAACATTTTCTTTGATACTACAAATGAGGACAGTGAAATGTTTGAGTAATTTGCTAGGTTTCCAGCCAGCCAGGGCCAAAGCTACAGTCTGTGCCCCGATGTGTGGACCAAGTCTCTGAACTTTCACGCCTGCTGTCGTCCCATATAGAGGTGGCCAAAACCTTACTACTGTCCATGTCCAGAGGAGCAGCCATCTTTTCCCCAGCCTCCGCCTTCTGCCACAGCTGTGGGGAATCCCTCGTTTGGGGCTCAGCCCCTCTTTTCCTGCTTCAGTTTCTCCCTGGCCTTGCTCTGTTTTGATGACATCACCATCCTTACCCAGCCACTGGATTTAGAGAATCCTCCTTGGACTCCCCCTTGCAACTTCCTTTACCTATTCGCTGTCTGTGCCTCTACATAGCCCCCACCATCTCTTAGTCTCACAGTCCTTCCTGCTCTCCTAATGCCTTGCAGAAAAAACAAGTAAACACTTGAATGCAAGTTGAGCACACGTGAAAGCCTTGGCTTGTTGCTGTTGTGTGCAAGGCCTTCTCCAGGATTGGGCTCCTACTCACCTTTTCAAAGGTCTGCCCCCTTTCACCCTTCCCTGGCCCTCAGTAGCTGCAGTCCCCAAAGGGCAGTGTGGCTTCAGTTTGAATCCTGTGTGTGCCCCTTGCTTGTGGCTGGGAATGCCTGCCTGCTGCTCTCCCTTTTAACAAAGCCCTGTCCTCACTTCTTTGCCCTCTGGGAGCATCTTTCTCATCCACCACCCCCCCCATCACATCCTTTCCTTACATGTGTACTGTTTTGGGTGATAGGCTTGAGCTCTGGTATGGTAGAACATTGCTTACCCTCACTTGTAAAATGACAACAGTCACGATGCTTACCTCACAGAGTTGGAAGGTGTATGAGACTAGTGCTTGGTACCTAGGTAGGGGTTCATTGAAAATCAGACTTTAACTTCATGATGCCCCGGGACCCAGCAGGAAAACTTTTAAATGTATCACATTTCTGTTCAGGATTTCTGGGGGGGAAAAAGTGTATATTTAATATTATTTTATTTTCTAAAAGACATCGTAATGGAAAGTCTGGAATTTAGCTGGGTTTGGTAGCTGTAACCTCAGCACTAGGGAGGCTGAAGCAGGAAGATTGCCATAAGTTTGAGACCAGCCTAGACTGCAGAAATGAGACCTTGTCTCAAACAACAGAAACAACAAAACTAAAACAACAACAACAAACAAAAAAATCCCCAAATAGCAAAGCAGCAACAACAACAACAACAACAAAAAAACAAAATGAAAAAAAAAAACCCAACAATGAATCTTACAAATAGTTACCATTCTGTCTCAGCTGGCTTTATGAAAGGGGCAGTTCTGCAAGGAAGAGAAACCTGCCTTGTCATTTACTTTAAAGTACTTTTTATTTCCCTTTTCTCCCTAGCTTCTTCACAAAATAATTGATGGCATGTGTGGCCGAGCTTACCCTGCCCACCATGATTATCACAGCATTTGGGATTTTACCGAATGGAAGCATGTTCTGGAAGATGTGACCATGTTTTTCAAAGCTGTAGTTGGCAGAAACCTTTCAGATGAAGAGGTAACTTCACTCCGGGTTTCTTTACCCAATAAGCCCTGCCCAGAGTTTCTGACATTGCTTCTGGAGGAGGGGAAGGGCCCATGCGGGTCTTCAGTCAGTACTGAATACGCGACTCAGCAACTGAAACATCTGATTATCAGTGAGTGGAAGCTTTAGAGCCTTTGCAGCTTTGTTTTAGTTGTGCCTTTCCCCACTGTAACAGGTTTAAAGTATACAGAAGAAAGCAGCCAGCCTGGTAGCTGGGGTTAGACCATGAGCATTAGATCTCATGGGGTGTGGCTTTTGTAACTTGGTCAAGAATTATTTGTGCATATTTATGAGTGGTTAACGTTAACAAATGGAGTTCTATGTACTTGTCATGTTGATTTGGATGGTATTCTAGATCTGCATTTCTTTGACTGTAGTCATCTCATCTGTTACATCCCTTGTTTTTTCACTCTCTTAGTGGGCCTTTTGCTGAACAGAAGTTCTGAAGTTAATGAAATTGGATTTCCCAGTATTTCTTGGTGCAATGCTTAGTGTTATCAGTGTTGTATTTAGGAAATAGGAAGGTATCTTTGTGGGGTTTCTTATGGAGTTTGATTGTTTTAGCTTCTGTAATCTTCTCTCAGATATGTTTTGAATTTTGTGTGGGACAGGGCCATCTCAGTTTCTTCTGCATAGTATCCCATTAACTATGTGCCATCTATTGGAATGACTGTCTTTGCCTCACAAGGCTACTGCCAGCCTTGGTGATAAATCAGGTGGCCATGTGTGGGGTCTTTCTCTGGATTCTTTATTGGATTCCATTAGTCTCTGTGTCAGGTTTTTCATTTCTATACTGTTTTAATTACCACAGCATTAAAGATATGCTACATTAATTCCTGATATCAGCTGGTAGAAGACTTTCAACATTATGTTTCTTAAGGGATGCTTTGGCTCTCCTTGCTTCTTGTCTTTGGATTATATTTATAATCAGCTTGTTAACTGTAAAATCAAGTTTGAATTTTAGTGTTGATTGCACTGAATCTAGATTATTTGGCTGTATCAGCCTGACAGGAACTTGTTAAAACCTGTCTGGGTTACTCATTCTCAGATTATGCTTTTGTAGATTTTAAAGTATTTCTTTTCATTGTACTGTCATTTTAAGAAGTGTGTGGGAAGAGGATGGCCATGGTGTTTTTACATTTGAAATAGGAGGTCCTTTTCACTTTCCTGACTATTTGTGTGTTTTCACAGACACTCCAGCAGTTGAACCAACTGAATTCGTATCATCAAGAAGCAGTTATGAAATGCTTGAAGAGCAGGAAAAATGAGATCAAGCAGGCCCTGTTGGGAGAAATAGTTGATATTTCTTGTGCACAGCTACAGGATTTTGATTGGCAGTTAAAGGTAAGAGGTAAGAGGGTCGTGCTGAGTAGGAAGAGAACAATTTCAGAACAGTTTTCTGTTCTTTTAAGGTACCAAACTGGTAGACAGAAAGCAGATACGTCCTAGTTTATGAGTTTAGTTAGCATTGTCTTTGATCCAGAAAGTGCTTCGTATTGTTTTGGTAGATTAGGAGGACAAAAGTTGGGAAAATGGGGTAGTTAGATAGTCTCATAACTGCAGAATTAGCCTCTTGTAGACAAAGTTGTCTCAGCTGAGGAAATGGGCCTTATGGTTCTTTCTCATTGTGGCTCACCCATGTTTAAGATTTTTTTTATTAACACAATACTTGAAGCGAAGGAAGTATGCAATACAGCCAACATTTGAAATGACTTTATGCCTGTTACTCTGATGGGCCAAATGATGAAAAGCAAGTCAATCAGTGATAAACTAAATAAAAGGTTTTCATTTAAATAAGCAATTAACATTTAAATAAGTATGAGTGGTAGGGGAGAGGCACTAGTGTAGCATTCATGAAGGACATTGCTTTGTTTATCCCACTGTGGCTTAGCTGGTAAGGCTTCAGTCTTCTGTTTGTGGGGAGACCTGCTGTGCTCTTTTCAACTGTGCAGTCTTTTTTGTTAGCTTAATAATCTCTTTAGTCTTGGTTGCTAGACTTAAATATTTGAACAAATAGGACCCCAGCCAGAGAAGAATGACCAGGAATTTAAAATCATGTTTTGTGAAATTTCATTGAGACACTAGAGACCATGTGCCTGGAAAAGAAAAGGCTAATTGCAGATACCATAGTTGTGTTCAGAAGACTAGATGTTCTTCAGGTGGTATCTTGATATTGTGGTCATGAACAGTTTGATAGCCAATCATGAATTAAGTCACTTAATTTCTAAGTTACCGAGTAATCGTAGTCTTTGATACATGGACTGTCATCTTGGAATCTTCTCTTTAACAGTTCTGCTTGGTTCTTGCTGTACTGGGTGCTTTCAGCACTTCTGAGTTCCTATGATGAAGCACGGGTGTGAACCTGAAGAAAGTGTTTTGTTTAGCCAAACTCTGATCCATATGCTGGCTTTTGGGCAAATGCTGGCTCCTTTCTTCCTGCCCATTTCCTGTATTTGCTCTGTTGCCTTTCCTTTCGCCCCCTGGTCTTTGGGATTGTGTTTATCTCTCCTGTTTCCCAGAATTTGCCAGCAGATGGGCCGTGTGCTCTCACCAGACTTACTGCTTATCGTCTTCCTCGCTTTCAACAGCTCGCGCTTTCAAGTGACAAGATCGCCACTCTGCAGATGCCACTTTTAAACCTTCATCTGGATGTGAAGGAGAACGGTGCAGTGAAACCATACTCTATTGAAATGAGTAAAGAGGAGCTACAGAATCTAATCAGTTCCTTGGAGGCAGCTAATAAGGTGTGTATTGGATCGTATAGTTTGCATGCTTAAGCATCAGCGGATCCTTGGGTAGGAAAAGTAGAATTCCAGAGGGGTTTTAATGCAATCTCATTTTACTGATACTCTATATCAAGCACAGAAAATACTTTGTTGGGATGTTCTGACCTCTACTTTAAATGTTGTGTTAATTATAACTTACAGTGTTCAATTACCAAGTTCTGAATTGATTATCTAGTTATTTCTGAAACAAAAGCAGCACTATTAAACCATAGTTTTTGTTTTCCTTCAGTAGTCATTAAGCTTAAAAATGAAATATTTACCCTAGAGACCAAGACATGAGTCTATTCTCAGGTTTCTCTAATTAAAATAAAAATCTTCATGAGTCTAAAAAAGAATTGTCTTATTTGGACGGACAGATGTTAGGTTGCCGCTTTTGTAATGTTCCGTGTGTGGGAGATCAAATACAACTGTTGTTACAGAGAAATCAAGTTGAGATGCGATAGGGCTAACAAACACTCACATTTGTATTGTGTCTGAACACCAGCAGCCAGTCCAGTCCACATGAGAAAGCAGTGTTTAAACAGCAGGGGTTGACTGAGAGGAAGCCAGCAGGTGATTTTCATCGTCGGTGTAGGCTTGTTATTGAGCAGCCTTTCTTGAGGGCTGGTTGCAGGCCTGGGCTCCTAGGTGTTCTTCCGGCTGCTGTGGTCTCCTAGATCTCCCTTCCCTCTCAAGCCTCGATAAGCGTCACCTTCTTCCATTCTCCACAGTTGCTCACATTTTGATTTTGCCTTCACGATTGATCCTTACGTCCAGTAAGGAAGCCCGATGGTCTTTGGATGAAGTTGCCCATGAGAAATGGGTGTGGAGCCTGGTACAGGTGCTGAGCCTGCCCTCATTTGCCTGTTGCTCTTCATATCCGGCTTCAGAGTTTAATCTAGCAGAGAGCGGCTTCATTCTAGTCTGACCTGATATCGATTCTCCCTGTTTGCAGGTGGTCCTGCAGTTAAAATAACTGGAAATGGCGAATTTCAACTGCCAGATTTCTCTGCTGCACCGAGGCAAAGTGAATGCTGTGTTCAGAGGGTGGATACTCCAGCAGGCTGAGCGGAGGCAACACTGAGATTACAGAGATGAGAATCTGTCAGCACCCTAAAGAACAGGAAATTGTATGGCTGAATGGCTGATAGGAAATACATAAAATGAAAGATGAAAAACAGAAGTTACTGTTTGTGTTTTCACAACGATCGTCTTGTCTCATTTATTAAATATTTGAGAAATCTTTAGATAACGATTTATCGAAAGGTAAAAGTAAGTTCTAGAGTAACAAACACACAAAGCAGACATACAGAACTGTTGCTTCAGTATGAATAGCAGGACATGTATTATGAATATATAATTTGTGATATGGGAAAATGCTTTAAAGCATATATAAGCTGCATATGTAACTCAGGATCGGTTGCATGTCTTCATGTTTCAAAGAAAAGATTTAAGTTGTAAAGTTTAGAGAAAAGTCTTATCAGACATGATCAAGAAAATATTTAAAATTTGTGAATGATTTGGGATTTATGAATTTTATGAACTAAAGCATAAACTGCAAGAAATGAAAATAACATGTTATTTCTGCACATCCCCACCTCCTGGAGAGACTGGTCTGAGAAAAAGAGAAAGCTGTCCTTGATTGTGCAATGTACATATTGTTACTCACATGCAAGTTTGTTTTTATACCTTCTTAGTATGGAATTTGAGCTTTGGGGTGGTCACAAATTAATTGTAATATAAACCATTTTTCATCTCAGCTAACTTTAAAAATGAGCATTCTTAACAAATAATAGTGTCTGGTTTTATCTTTATGTATTCTTGGTTTCAGTGCCTTCCTGCATATCTCAGTGGTTGGTATGTAATTAGATGGCCCCTGCTGTTAGCAGTTCCAGAGCAATGATGATACTGTTCCCTTCATACAGCTGCAGGCAGGCTCAGACAAGGCTGTGTAGCGAGTGTTACTCTGTGGGCTGTGGTAGAACAGTGACTAGAGCAGGAGTTGCGGACAGAACACTCCTCAGTGTACTTCTTTTTCATTAAGAAATTTGGGGTGTGGAACGTGTATCCAAATGGTGTGCTTCGTGTGGTTGCTGATTTCCTCTGAGGCAAGTAAGTCCCTTAGTCAGAATGGAACACTGACATTTGCAGAGTAGTGCACAGGAGGCCTGGTCCTGTGGTCTCTCCATTATACCCTTGCTTTCAGTGTAGCCCCTTTGCAAGGGAATACCTTTCTTCCCCTCCCACACGTGGTTCCAGCAGCCTGTTTCATCTTCCTCGAGGTTTGATTGACATACTGTCTCAGTTGGGGACATTTTGACTGACAGATACTCATGAAAGCTCCATGGTCAAAGTTCTTTTTCTCTTCACTGTTGGTAATGGGTGCAGGGCAGTGTGCTTTACCACTGAGATCTCTAAAACAACAAATTGAATCATGTCTTTCCAGTGTCTGTTTGTCTGTCTGTTTGTTTCTGGACAGTGCCTTACACTGTTGTCCAGGCTGGCCTAGAATTTAACTATGTAGACCAGGCTGGGCCTTGAACTCACAATAGTCATCTGGCCTGAGATTTCCAAGTACTAGGGTTACTGGTATGGGCCAGCGTGCCAAACGTTAGCATTATTCGAGTTTTATTCCTAATGCACACGTAAGTACTTTGCTCCTTTTTATTGTTGATAAGTATCATGTTGTAGAACTCTGTTTATCTGTTGATAGCATTTTGGTGGTTTCACATTTGCCCATTACAGTCTAGAGAATGCTATGAGCATTTTGCACGAATATCTTATTGTGGACAAAAAAATGGTATTTTTGGAGTGACATAGTTTGGTCATGTGATAGGTTTATGTTTTTAAGATACCACCACTGTTATTCAGAGGGATTTTTTAAACCCATTTTCCATTGCCAGCAGTATATGGATGTTCTGATCCACCTTATCAATACTTCATGTGGCCAGTCTTCCTGATTTAGCTATTTTGGTGTGCATGTGGTGGGATCTCGTTGTGCTTGCGACAGTCACTGATGCCCAGCCACGTCCACCATCTCTCAACACGGCTTCGCTGTCTGTACATCTCAGTGGACTCCGTTCAGATCTGTCGCCAGTTTTTAAGGTGGTCTCAGTTCTTGTTTCGTAGTATTGCGTTTTGACAGTTCCTATCCAATGCAAGGGCTTCAGATACTTTTCTCCACACTTAAGATCTTTTTCTCTTCCCTGTAAGCAGTAGTACTGATTTCAGAGAGCAGCATTAGACTTACAGAAAGGTCAAGAGTGCAATATAGAATTTCCAAATGGTCTCTAGTTTCTCCTCTTAACTGGTTATGCTGGTATAGAGCACTTTAAAAAAATTTTTTTTTTTAGGTTTTTTTGATACAGGGTTTCTTCTCTGTGTAACAGCTCTAGATGTCCTGGAACTCAGGCTGTCCTCAAACTCAGAGATCCTCCCATTTCTGCCTCCTGAGTGCTGGGATTAAAGACATGCACCACCACAGTTCAGCAATATAATGCACTTGTGAGGAACTACAACATTTCTGTTAGCTAAGTTTCATAGATTATTTGGATTTCTTAAGGTCTTATCTGCCCTCTCATCTTGCTATTTCAACCGAAATAATGTGTATCTTTTTAGGTTCTCTTTGCTGTTTGTTCCTCAGACTTCTTCATGTGATTTGTGACCTGATGCTGACTGTCATCACCTGGGGAAGGTAACACTAGTTAGCCTTCCTCACTGTGAAGTCACTTTCCAGCTTCCTCATTCCAGGCTTTTCTCTGTGGGTGGACATGACTGTTCAGCCTGGGCTAGAGTGGGGAGTGGGGGGAGGGTGGGGGTGTGATCTTTTCTACCTGCTTAGGAATTCACAATTTTTTTCTTTGTTTTCTCCCATAAATTATTTTGCCTTTTATGCAAAAGAGACACTTGTGGGTATCTCTTTTGTGCCTGGGGTGTTTTATTACTGACATTATTTTAGCTCTGCTCAAGCTCTTTTAGTTGGTTTCTGTGTCCCTTTGACACATTTGTGTCAGCAGGGTGGGATTTTTTTTTTTGATGGGTAAGCAGTTTTAGTTTTTACTTTTTTGCTTTGGAAAGGATTGCTCTACTTTCTGACAGCACAAGGAATTCTAGGCTCCTCTTTGTATAACATTTCTTTATAACAAAAGATGCATCTCTTTTTATTTTCTGTGCGTGTTTTGCCTGCATGTATGTCTTGTCATCATGTGTATACCTGGTGCCTGGAGGGACCAGAAGATGATGAACTGGAGTTACAGACAGCTGTTACAGCCACATGAGTGCTGAAAATTGAACCCTAGTCCTTAGGAAGAGGAGCCAGAGCTCTAACTTGTGAACCATCTCTCCAGCCCCTGTGTAGTTTCCTACCTAGTCCTAGAATCAGCTGATTCTCCAAGAAGCCCAGGATCTTTCTGAAGATGGTTATTAGAAACCAAATGAGATATGCTGTGCTCACTGATACTTTGAGCTGTGTAGGCTTTCACAGAGCAGCCAGAGCAAAGAATATGTGTGTCTATCCTACCCTGTGCAACACACACATCTGTACCCGTTTCTATATAATCATGTGTGTCTACAGTAGGCTAAATGACTTCATTCTGATAACCACCTCTGTTGTTGCGCAGGTCATTTTAGCCTCATCTATAAATATCCACCCCAGAAGAACCCTGGGCCCTAGCAAGTGCCATCCGTTTTTCTTACTGTATAATTCCACTACAAATATATAGCAGAATCATTTATCTGTGGGCCTGTGGGCCCTGTGCATGCTTCTCACCTTCACTTTACAGACTCATTTCCAAAGTTACGTATGTCAACAGCTTTCCACCCCCTTCCACCTGCTTCAGTGGGGTGGTTTCATGCGTTCACAGTATAGGTAGGCACTTTGCTGCTGTCGTTTTCTTTTTTTCTTTTTTTGTCAGCCTTCCCGGCTTCAAATGTTTCCTGGGACTCTTCAGCTCTCTAAATGATTTTTGTAATGCATGCATTTGTGTTAAATATTCCTATCAGTTTTGGCTAATAGGTCGTGCTTGTATCCACCATTGTTCTGGCTGGTTTTGGAAGTCAACTTGACACAAGGAAAGAGCCTAGGTTGAGGAAATGTGTCAATGAGATCAAGGGTAAGACATTTTCTCATTTGGTGATCAGTGGGGGAGGGCATAGCCCATGGTGGGTGGTGCCATCTCGGGGGCTGCTGGTCCCGGGTTCTGTAAGAAGGTGAACTGAGTAGCTCCCCCTCCATGGCCTCTGCATCAACTCCTGCCTTTGGGATTCTGCTCATTTGTGTTCCTGTCCTGACTTCCTTCAGTGATGAACAGCAATGCTGAAGTGTAAGCAAAGCAAACCCTTGCCTCCCCAATTTACATTTTGGTCATGGTGCTTCAGTGCAGCACTAGAAACCCTAACTGAGACAACCGTGTAGAGTAATTAGTTCAACACCAAGAAAAGCCCATCTTCATCTGCCCATCCCTCTCCATCCAAAGAATTTCTGATGGCTGCCGAGTTTTCCATTTCTCTAATGTGTTTCCTTTTTTAGAGTGTCACATGGAGTCATGTAGCATATTGTCAAGTCACATAGCAACAGGTGTTCCTGCCTCACTTGTTCATGGCTTGATCATTTCCCTTTTAATCTCTGATGTTTCACTGTACTATTTTTTTAACTTGTCAAAACTGAGAATAAAGCTGCTGTAAACACTCCTAGGCAGCATAATTGGGTAATATGTAGGAGCATAGCCGTTGGATTATATAGTAAGAATGTTTATCGAAGAAACAGCCAATGTCTTGTGTGTGTGTATTAAAATGGGATAACTGAATTCTACTATTGTGTAGCTGTTTTTCCTGTTAGCGCTGTCAGTATTTGATTTTTATATTATGTGTTCTTATGTTCAGTACATATGTATATATCATTGTCATATATTCCTGAATAGTTGAGCCTGTTTTCTTTCCATAAAATGTTTCATGGTTTTCGTGTGTGTGTGTGTGTGTGTGTGTGTGTGTGTGTGTGTGTGTGTGTGTGTGACTTGCAAATTAAATTCCCAGTTAGAGGGAATTATGGCTCTGTCAGGTGCTCAAATTCTGGTTCCCTCTGGTGTTTGACGTTGGTACTGCAGTTTCCCTGGGGCTGCTGCAAACCACTCTTGTCTTGCTAGTCTCATCCTAGCCCTCTGACTTTCTATATTATTCTGGGTCTTGCTTATCAGTACTCTAAGTCAAATGAGATCATCTTGGACAGTCCCAAGAAGCTGGAACATCATCCACATGCTCCTCTGTTCCCTGTCACTCACAGCGAGAAGCTACTGGTCTTTACCTCTTCTCTACTGTGGGCTCCTGGAGTGCCAGGAGCAGTCTGCTGTCTTTTGGTCTCAACAGGGCCCTGGCATCTAGACATATCATGGCCTGTCCACTCTCTCAGACAGAAGCCTGCCATTTGGGCCATCTTACAAAGTGTCACAATGTTGGATTTATGCTGGTGTTCCGCTTAACCAGGAGAAGCCAGGAATAGCAGGATGACAGAGGCATGTGATTGCCAGGAATTTTGCTATGGGGATGGTAGTTTTGTTCTGGCCTATGGTCCAGATTCTTCTTAACTGAATTTTATTTTTTAAAATTGAAAATAAAGTGATTTTCATGTAATATATTATGCACAGCTTCCCCTCCATCTCTTTCCTGATCCTCCTCATCTCTCCATACTTCCAACCCCATCCCTTCTTTCCTAAGAAAATAGACAAATTAAAAAAAAACAAAAATGAAACTAAGAAAGAGCGCTAGAATATATGCACTCATCTACACACATACCATAAAAACTCAAAATCAGAAACCATAATATATAACTAAAAGATCAGTAAGGTTAAAAAGAAAGAAAGGAGGGAAGGAGGGGAAGAAGGGAGGCAGGGAGAAAGGAAGGAAGAAAGGAAGGAAGGGAGGGAGGAAGGAAGGAAGGAGCCAAATAAAGCAATATGTGACCAGAGGGGGAAAAAAGCAAAAACCTCCCAAAATACCTTTGAGTTCATTTTGAGTTGGCTATCTACTGCCGGCCTTGGGACCTGCCTTTAAGTGTGGTTTGTGTACCCAGTGAGACTTCCTTAGGGAAACAAATTCTCTTTTGCTTGCGGTTGTTAGTTGGTTTTAGCTTCTTTGATGGGGATGGGAACTCATGTCTACCTCCCCATCTCTGCACTGGGGCCTCATCTGGTTTGGATCTGTGCAGGTCCTGTGTGTGCTGCCACAGTCTCTGTGAGTTCATGTGTGCATCCGTCCTGTTGTGTCTGGAAGACACTGCTTCCTTGGAGTCATCTATCCCCTCTGGCTCTTATATATTCTTACCTCTGCTTCTGCAGGGTCCCCTGAGCTGTGGGGGCGGGGAGTTGATGACGGTATGCCATTTAGGACTGGATGTTTCAAGGTCTCTCACACATGCACATTGTCCAGTTGCGGGTCCCATCTACTGCAGGAGGACTCTGTTCTGGTAAGGGCGGAGTCAGATACTGACCTATGGGTGTAGCAGAATGCCTTTAGGATCTTTACTGAATTTTAATTGCTTATGAATGGAGCTGACTTATGTGTTGTGTTGTTGTCTTGGTATCTCTGTGGTGCTGGAAAGGAGTGGAAGTTTGGGTCTTCTGATTCTGAGTCTTGCTGGTGTCTGCTCATTTTGCATCTTTAGTAGCAACAAGTTGCTATCAGCATGCTCAGCATTTGTGTTGTTGCAACAGTAGATATTGAGTCATCAGTGTTCAGTGTTTGTCGATTCCTGTTATTTTACTGTTGTTGTTTATGTGTTTTTTTTCTTGGATTATTTATTCATTATGTTTTCCTTCTAGCACCTTCTGTAAGGTTGCATTTGCCAATAGATGTTGCTTACTTTTGATTTTATTGTAGAAAGTCTTATTTTCTCCATCTATTGTGATGAAAAATTTTGCTGGGCGTAGTGGTCTGGGCCCATGTCTGTGGAACATCTGTCCAGGCCCTTCTTGCTCTTTGAGTCTCTGTCTCAGTTAGGGTTTCTATTGTTGTGAAAAGACACCATGATCACAGCAACTCTTATAAAATGTTTAATTGATGTGGCAGCTTACAGTTTTAGAGGTTTAGTTCAAAATAATCATGGAGGGGGGCATGGCGGCGCTCAAGTAGACATGGTGCTGGAGAAGGAGCTGCTACATGTTGACATGCAAGCAACAGGAAGTAGACTGTCTCACTGGATATGGCTTGACATATATGAACCCCCACTCCCAAAGCCCACCTCCACAGTGACACATTTCCTCCAATAAGACCACACCCACTCCAACAAAGCCACACCTCCTAATAGTGCCACTCCCTTTGGGAGACGTTTTCTTTCAAATTACTACAGTCTCCATTGAGAAGTCAGATGTCATTCTAATAGGTCTGCCTTTAAATGTTTTTTGCTCTTTTCCTTTTGCAGTTTAAAATTATTTTTCTATGTTCTTTTAATGTTTCAATTATTATGTGCCAAGAGGATTTTCTTTATGGTACAGTCTATTTGGTGTTCTGTATGCTTCTTGTACCTAGATAGGCAATTCCTTCTTTAGGTTAAGGAAGTTTTCTTCTATGATTTTGTTGAAGATATTTTTTGTGGCTTTCACCTGGGTTTCTTCTCCTTATTCTATTCCTATTATTCTCAGACTTGGTCTTTTCATAGTGTCCCATATTTCCTGGATGTTTTGTGCCAGGATTTTTTTCAGATTTAACATTTTCTTTGACTGATGTAGCTATTTCTTCTATTGTGTCTTCAATGCCAGAGAGCATCTCTTCCATCTCTTGATTTCTGTTGGTCAGTCTTGCCTCTGAGGATCCTGTTTGAGTTCATAATATTTTATTTCTTGATTTCCTCATTTGGGTTTTCTTTATGGATTCTATTTCTGCTTTAATGCCCTGAACTGTTTTATTCATTTCCTTTCACTGTTTGTGTCTTCGTAAATTTCTTTAAGTGATTTATTCATTTCCCCTTTAAAGATTCATATCTATATTCACAAATGCTATCTTAAGGCCTTTGTTCTGTCTCAATACTCAGGGGCTGCTGTGGTAGGGTTGCTGGGCTCTAGGGAGGCAAATTGTCCTGCCTGCTACTGATTGTGTTTTTACTTTGGCATCTAGGCATCTGGGATTGTGAAGATTGTAATTTAGGTGCTGATACCTGGTCTTGTCTTGGTTGGGTGGGTGTTTTGTTCCTTGGTTTCTGTTGCCCTCTCTGGTTCTTAGGGGGATGCTGTGGTTTTGTGTTGCCTGCTGGGAATTTTTCTGGGATCCTGATAGGTGTGGTCACTGGTGATTCTGAGTAACATGTTTTTCTAGGTATTGGGGAGCTGATGCATAGGAATGGGGTTGATCTAGGGGTTACTGCCTGAGGAGGTCCATAGGAGGCAGAAAAGCAGGGTGTTCCACCAGGATCTGCTTAGTCCTCTGAAAAGGGGGGGACAGAGAGTGAGAAGAAGCCACAGTAGGATCCTACTTCAGATCTGGGGATGAGACTCAGGCATTGAATTTAGAGGAGAGAGTGAAGATCCCAAATTCCCCTACTTGCTTTGCTGGCCTACTTGCTTTGCTTGCTTGGCTGGTAGGTTCCTAGGGAACATCTGCTGGAGTTGGGGGCTGGAGTAGTAGGATGAGTGGAGTGGAAGGCTTGAGGAGGCCTGGGTGACACACTGGAGAGGGGGCAGTGGGGAGCGGAAGCTGCAGCAGGTGGCCTGCTACAGACCTGGGCATGAGACTGGGGAGTAAGTTTGGAGGAGAAGGGGAAGCGGTAAAGATCTGTAGCTACCTTACCTGCTTCCTTGGCTTGAGTGAGTCATAGACTCATGATGTAGAACCTGGGAGGTGAATATGTTTGGAAATTTTCAGAATTAATACCAGTCCAAGAGAAATGACGTGACAGATTCAGAGGCGACATCACTTGGATCCTAGTGACTACAAATACTCATTGACTGCACAGACAGTTCCAGGCCTCCAGAGGGTCCTCTTGTGCACCAGCCGGGGAGGAATGCTGTCACCCAGCTTTGCCTGGGCACTTCCATACTTTGTAATCCTTGGGAGTGTGGAGTCATACTGGTTTGCACTGGTGTCCTTTAGTTACTCTTCCCTGAGACTGGTTTACATTGTTACTCTAGCCTTTGCACATTTCCCTTGCCTAATAACTACTAATTGCTTGCTGATTTAATAACACTTCAGTTTTTCTTTGTTTAGGAAGATAAGACATGAGCCATCTATTTCTTACTAAACACATTGCTTATATATTTGTTCCCTTTCTAATTTAGATAAAATTATATGGGTATTTCCTTCTTCCATGTCGTACTGGCGTCCTGGGAATGTGTGCCGATATCGAATGCCATGAAAAAGCCCATCGTCTAGATGAAACTCAGAGCTCCAATAAATTATGATTCCCAGTTACTTTGTTAGATAGATAGTAAGCTTTTCCCCGGGCTGGAATTTAGACTTTTATTGAAAAGCTATTCTGCTAACCATCGATTTACAGATACATGGCCTTCAAAACTTCAGTCTGTTCATTATTTTATTGTCAATACTTTCTCAAGGGAGAGAGTGAGTTTGGAAATCAGAGGTCTTCAAATGAGGAAAGACCAGCAGACAGCTTTAGTATTCATGACTACAGCAGAGATAAAACAACAAAAACAAACAAACAAGCAAACAAACAAACAAACAAAAAACCCATACTGACAAAAGTCACCTCACAATGGAATACTTAGAGACTTCGTTTTAGACATCAATTTTAGTATGATGAGACTGTTCGTGGTCTTCATCCCATCCGCTGTAGAAATGCTCTATCTGTTCATGCGTGTAAGGCATGTTTCCTAAAGAATGTGTTTAAAGTAGTGCAGAAACAAACTCCCACTAAAGTGCCACCTCTTTTTTGTTTTCCAGTTTTTCTGATAATCCTGCAAGGAATCTCTTCTACCTACAGGGACTCAGCTTTTAAAAGAAAATCTGTCAAACAATAAATTCAGAATTTTCAACATTGTGAAGGATCATAAAAAGCTGAAATCTTCTGTGTTTTAAAACAGTACAAAGTAAGCATTATATGTAGCCATCTCTAATTGATTTTTAAAATTTTTTATTGAAATAAGCCAACGTAAATTGTACATATTTACAGCAATAAATTCCATTTCAGAAGCTTCACAGTTACAATCGGAGCCGATGGTCTCTGACACCAGCCTTTCAGACTTGCGACCTGTCTTTCATTTGCTGCAACAGTTAAAATCTTGTATACCAAAGCAAACAATGGCGTGTTTTATAGCAAAGCCACACTGTTAACAAAAATGCTGAGTGGAGGACAGTCCCGTGACTGTGAGGGTGGCTGGGAGTCCTGAAATCGAGAGCGCAAGCGTCTCGTTGTGTCCATACCTGATAGCATGTAATTTGATTTTGTATCTTACAGGAATACACAATCACTTGATGGATGACTCAGAATAGAAAGAAGGCCATGAAGGGACAAAGGGGCAGGAGTCAGAGGCCACTGAACAAGTCCTTATTCACAGATTCACTGTTTACAGGGGGATCTACCTTTTATTTGTATTAATCACAGTCTACAGGCTTCATGGATTTTTTCCACAGATAGCGTTTAAGATAATGAAGGCATAAGTCACTTGCTTTTTAGCACATAAAAAGAAATTAATAAAACAAAATATTCTAATCAAATCCCAAACAAAAAGGGACAAACAAGCTTACTGTATGAAATTTGATTTCAAATGTAAAAAGCGACAGATCACAAATCCTATTAGACAGACAACAACTTCAGTCAGAAAATGCAGCATATATTGATACAAAATAGAAATCTTGAGTTATAAAAGTAAGGAGTCCATCTTTTCCTTTCTTGGCACCTGTTCAATCCTGCGCCATTTCATTAAAAAATTTCTACAGGTTTTCAGAAATACTGTTTCTTGCTATTCAACTTTTCTAGTGGTCTGATAGGTATACAAAGAGTATTACTTGCTTATGTTAGGAAGAAAAGGCTTTGTCAAAAAGTAAAAGATTTGTTTCTTTGTGAGGCAAGAAGTTTGCGTTCTGAAAACCAGAAAGGAATTATTTTATTTATAAGAACTGTGTAATGTCAATCAGAATACCGAGTTTGCTAAATCATATTTGGGAGGGTAGATCGCAAAATTGGTTAGTTAGTGGAGATTCAAAAGTCACAAGGAAAAGAACCAACCACTTAAAGTCCTCTGACATGTTTGGTGAGCTTAGCTGAGAGGCAACAGAAGGTGTGTGTTTCTTTCTGCTTGTAGGTAGCACCTGCTTTGAAAGCCACAGCTATTTAACACAGGATGCTATGAATTAAAGTAGCAGACACTTGTTTGGCAGGTTTGGATACAGTTTGGATTCAGTCAAGTTTCCAGTGAAGTAGTTGCCAAAGAGGTGTTTGAATCACTGCCGACAGCATCGTCATTTCGTGATTTCGTATTCTCTAGCCTAATGAGACTTGATTTCCCAGCCCCCACCCTTGTAGAAGTGGAAGGCCTTTACCATAGATTTAACCCCTTGTTAAACTCAAGGGGGTGAAAGAATTTTCCAGAGGTGATGGGCAGCCACGAGAAGTATCTCGAGAGAGGCATCTTCAATCCAGGTGCTTTTCTCTAGAAAAGTCTGATTTGTGTTTATGCAGCATTGTAAACTCCAGTTTATCTTAACCTTCTACATAGTATACCAACATTATATCAGCCATCATATGTCCATCACAATGGCACAAAATGCTGCCTGGTGATGAAAACCAAAAGCTTGTTTTAAAAATGTAAGCATCTTTGGAACTTGTAAGCATCTACATCAATGGGAATTTCCAAAAACCTCAGGCAATCTTGACCTTTTAAAAGTGCCACATGGTCTTTTTTTTTTTCTAATCAAGAAAATCATTGGCTTATTTTAAAACTGGGGATTGAGCAACAGTGAGTAAATACATGTGTATAAAATCATAAGCATTCCCTCATTAGAAAAATAGTGGATGTTCTGAATATAAAAGGTTATTTGGATACATAACTCTTACTACAGTGAGTTAGAATGATCCTGGGGGAGGCTTTCTTAAAAATATCACAGGGGCACTCCTGCAAAACACATTTCAAGCTTTTTCCAGTGAATATTTCATTTTAAAGGTAAAGAAATCAGACAATAATGCATTGATATAAAAGAAAAGTCAAACACACTGAAACCCAATGTATTGGGGGAGAATATATGTAGAAAAATATACTACCTAGTAAAACTGGGGTGGCTGGTGGTCCCTGGGAGGTAAGGTGTGCAAAGTCTGTGTTTCTTTCATGAAAGCATCTAAATACACAACAGGAATGTCAGCGATTGAAAGGTTTACAAAAGATAGTTCACATTCCCTGCTTCTTAATAATTGAGAAGCAGTGGTGAGTGTTAAGAGCCGTCCCTCCTTCCTAGGTAGTGCCAACTCATCTATGTATATCTTAGAAGAAGTCGACCTTGCTGTACATCATCCTCCATGACTATTCTCTTAGAATTCACATCAAAATGTTCCACTGACAATGTAATGCCATTCCAACTTCAAACACCTCATAGAACATACATTCAAAAGACTTTTAATCATAAGGTAGGCATAGCTTAGCAGGAGTAGAAATGAAAGTATGGAAGAAAATGTTCCTTTTTTGATAATAAAGGAAAGCAGAAGTAATTAGGATGGAAAATTCAGTTCTCCTAGAGCTTGTGTACAACGGAGGTATTAGGAAGATTGTGTGTGCCTACTCAATCAGTGGGAAAAAACCCTAGTGGCCACTCCGTATGGGGTCAGCCAGGGCTCACCTGTGTGATTTTATTTTTTAAAATTTATTTGGATATTTTGTGCATGAGATTCTACAAAGGACTTAGAAAGTGGGGTGTTTACTCTTAAGGACTTTTTGCCCCCTTAGAGACCATTAGAGAGGCAGAATATTTACAAGAGTACTGGAAACACACAAGATATCCAATTTCATTGGACAGAGTTGCTACAAGAATTGAAGGAGTACCAGTAGGTGAAGAAAGAGGCTGGATACTTGGATGGATATTTTGGGTGTTGGTGGCTTGTTCTGCAAGTTACCACTGGGGTGGAGCAAGGAAGAGCATGCTGACACTGACCTTAAGATGGAAAACTTGAAGTATAACAATAAGAGCATTTGGGGATGATGCCTGGCTGTTGGAGTTAAGGGTAGTGGAGATCTATGGATCAATCTCAAAGGTGTTAATTAAAGAGAGCCATGAGGAGCATAGTGGATACAAGTGGTGAAGGCTGGTCAGATGGAACAAGCGGGTGGTGAGACTCTGTCCTTTAAAGCAGTCACTTAATTTGCCTTTCAAATTCAGACAAAGTGGATCCTTTAACGATAATGTTATGAACCTGAAGAATGGAGCTCAGCGGAAGCTCTGCTTTATCCTTCCCTTAGGACAATGAGAAGCTATTGTGTGGGGAGTGGAGAGACGGTAGAGTGGACAGAAATAAACTGGACAGCATCTGCTGGGTTAGTAGTATCTTATTCTTTGGTGGAAGAGCTGTCTTCTTCCAAGTTTCCACACATCTTTGAATTACTCCAACAGCCTGTATCGTCCAGATCAAAGGGATCAAACATAGATCTTATGGGAGAGGTAGAAACTTTGTCTTTCAAGGAAAGAAAAGCTGGGAATGAATACCCACGTCACCAATAACTATCAGATCTGGGTGAGTTATTTAAGCTATTTTGCCTCCTGTGTTGTGATATTGGTGTTGTCATAACTTCATAGGGCCAGAGTATAGAGCAAAATGCTATATTATAGTGGGGAAGTATTTTCTCTAATTTAATTTGATATGGGATAGTCATTATTGGATATTTACCCAAGGCCATTTTTAGTTTCTTTTTGTTATTAATTAATTAATTTTTACATTGCACAATAGCCCTGGGTATTTGTTATAAGCCAGTCATGATAACCACACTCTTCAGTGAATGATTCCGGAATGATGTCTAACTTAACGTTGGCCAAGAGGACAAAAAAGAATGCTTTCTGGGACTGAGATGAGAAAAGAGTTCTTTGCCTTTAAAAAGTAATCTAAGGCAAAACTTATCCCATTTCTGTCCCATAGTGTTAATGTCTGGGAACTGGTCTATGCAGCCCTGTTGAAGCTATACTGAGTACTGATAGTATTGAGAGAGTCAGAGAATGGTCTTGGGTCATACATAAATACATACATACATACATACATACATACATACATACATACATACATGCACACATAGTGCTGATAATATTGAGAGAATCAGAGAAGAGTCTTGGGTCTTATATTATTGAAATAAGAAATATAGACCAATCTCTTCTAATATTACTGTTACATGACTGTTTGATAGTGAAAGGTCCTTTGAGAGGCACCTTTTGTCACTTGCACCTGAATGGATCTCAGCAGATAATCCTATGTTAGTAAATAGCAATGTCACCTCAGTTAGGACTTAATACTCAGGAATGTTTCCTTTCTCTGAAAAATGATATTGTTAGGCATGACTCCATCTATAGGTTAAAAACACCATGGGAAGGCAGAAAAGAAAACAATAGCCTCATTGCTTTAAGAGGAGCAGGAGTCTACCAGCACATGGGGATGTTGGAAGAATCTTTGAAGGATGCCCGAGGCTGGGAGCAGAATATTCTGCTAATTTTGCAAAACAAAAAAGGTGTTCCATTCAAAGACTGACATATAGCAGGAAAATGGTACTTCTAGGCATTATCCTAGGAATTTTATTTAGAAAATTCAATATAATAAATGATAAAAACTTTCAATAAATAAGGCATTGAAGAAAACACATATGAAAACAAAGATGTGTGTGACAGATCCATAGACACTTGCAATTGGATGGGAAAAGATTATCCTAACAATTTTGAACAGTTTGAAGGCTCCAGGAGAAGCATAAACATTCAATAAAAGTTAAGAATACTTGCAGAAATCATTTTGGTGATCATGATCAGAGGTTGGAATGGGGAGGGGTACATTAGCTAGAAAGTAACCACAGAACTAATCACAATTTAATAAACTTTCATTTTTGGCCATGGCTGTATCTAAAATAGCAGACCAGTTTGACTGGCAAAGTGGTATAGCAGGGTCCAAGGGGAAAGGGGAAAGAAGGATGGGTAATAGCTTCTAAAGATCCAGAATCTCTCTCATCTAGACGAGAAGTTGCATCTGGCTTGAAAGCTCAAATATATTTGCTTGTTTCATTTTAGGGACATTAGAGAGATGTGAAGTTCAAAACTGGAGATGTCAACAGAATGCACTTGGTCTCAGATAATGGCTAGAAGTTGGCTTTTCCACCCACAAGGGAAGGCTTTATGGCTTTTTCTTGACCGAGTTACAGAGGGTGGTTTAAGAACACCTGTATCTTCCAAAGATCTAAAAATGGAGACCAGATCACATGGATGAATGTTATCTGAGAGTCCCTAAAGATACTTTTTTAAAATGGAAGATTGTAGCACAGAGTATTATAAAAGTAGTAAGATAATTTTACTACCTGCCTGTGTAACTACCTATTTGATGAGTTTTGGAAGAAATATGAGCCAGTATTCAATTCCCTTAACACCGAGTAGCTAACTCTCAAAGGCATGTGACAGAGACTATTATAGATTTGCGAGGCTTCATCAACAGGGACCATGGTACACTGGCACCATCTGGTTAAACTCCTATGTACATGAGCCTTTCTAAAATAACCTTTGAAATGTGGTTCCGGAAGAGAACTTGAAGTAATCTGCTGGCATGCCAAGAGCCACAGACCTGAGAGGAGCCATATCTCCCCCTCTCTCCACTACTGTTAACCTTCCAATATTATAGTGCATATTGTTTGCTGTATGTTTAGAGAACTGTGTTATCTAAGTCTGTGGAGATACTTTATTGAAGGAATGTATCTTATACAATTCTCTGATGATAATTTGAACAGGGCATAAAGTTTTTTTTGCAATTACTAACTCTGCATGGAATCTAATAGAAGGTTGAGGGAGAGGTGATATATATGAAGGTGAGGTGATATATATGAACTATAAGTCTGAGATAAAGGAGCAGAAATGATGAATTAGGTCCAAATCCTAAAAGATTATCTGTAACCACTGATTGTTACTTGCATGATAACTCATTCTGCGAGGAACAGTAGTAAAACTTTAAATACCATGTAGTTAAGACTAAGGGTATGCATAGCCATTGACGAATGTAGCATGGATTTACCACGTTACAATTATATTGAGAAAATGGACTTAATTTTAAGCTCTAGTATAGACAACATAATCTTCCATAGGTCTAACTTCATTACTTTCATTTCTACCATATTTTGAAATAAATTGGGAGAGAAAAGGTGTTTGTAAACATGTGTACTCTTTACATAAAAAACAAATAAAAATAATTCAGGGGCATTCAGAGGTGGCAACGATGAAAAGATTTACTTCTGAAGACCTTTTAAAGGCGTTATGAGTAGGAATTGGGAAGAACTATTATAATTCTTTGTTTGTGAATTTAATGAAGAAATACAATATAAGTCCAAAGATTGAAGCTGCTATCTAAATATGAGCAAGATAGCATATGAGCTTTGGAAATGAGATGGACAAATAAATAAAGGAATCAATTCCATTTGGGTATGTAGTTGGGAAAGAATAAGACAGAAGATCTGTTCATCTATTTTATAAAATCCAAAACTGCAAAATACACATAATATTTTCGTTACTTGGACATATAAAAATATATTTGGGAGTGTCTCCTCTTTCCTGTTTCTCCTTAAGGAGAAGCACGGGAAGAGGCAAGAGCCAGGTAACAATATTGCTCTTGCTCATCCTTTGGCTTTGGAAGGAGACTATTTTAATGAATGTATCTGTGACCCTGTATCCCTAAGGCAAATAAACCAGGTTATTTGACCTCTCTTGCATGCACTGACTTGTTTTGATTGTCCACAGGACAGAATATGCAGGGAGTGTTGCTCTGGAGAGTGGAATTCCTTTTCAACTGGTTCAGGAGTATCAATTTCCCACCTGGAATTCCCACTGGACTTTTTTTTTTTGATTACTGATACACAAGAGGTTTGAGAATCAATCAAAAATGGTTCTTGATACAAGTCCCGTAATATGCCAAAGACTTCTGAATAGATAAAAACCCGTTAGACTGCTTCAATTTTAATGAGAAATTCCTGCCATGGGAGATGTCAAAACAAACACAAAACCCTCATTCTTACCCTTTTAGCCATTTAATATTTTCTGTTTTGTAATTCGTTTATTAAAAAGAACTTTTCTATCAAATGCTTGCTGCAGCTCCCAACAATTACACTTTCAATCATTTCAGCTGATGTGTTATCTGAAGAAAAGCTAAGGTAAAACCACAATGTGTTCTAACCTGAAAACTGGCAGAGTGGATTAGTTCCAACAGCGTTTGCTTTGTGTGTCCAGTTTGTGGTGGGTCACATTTCGGAATTAAAATGTCCCAGAAGAATAGCTCCCTGTGTATGCTCCCTTAACATGTAAAATGACACAAAGGATCTTACCTTCAGGGAGGACACCTTTCCCTCTAACACTAAGAAACCAATTTCTGTCTTCAAGTGCTTGGATATTTTGAATTTCTTTTGGTGTCTTCACCCTCTCTGGGATTTCCAGTTTGCATGGAAACACATTCTGTGGCATAACAGCCTACATACTGAAGACTTTTGAAAGAACTCTGAAAACATGGAGGAAATAATATCTGGAAACATTTAATTACCAGGTTCTTCAAACTCAAGTTCCTCACACCATACGCACCCTTCCCCAAGTTAAATCACTGTTTCTCTTCTCGATCAGTTCACACCAAAGATTTTCTCTACTTTTAAGACAGTTCCCTCTGTGCCTTTCAGGTGTGGGTCTGCCACCTAGTGCTATCAAAGACATTTATCGTCTCTCCTTGTACCCCTGCCTATCCTTTGGATACTGATTGTTAACCCTGGTCAAACCCATCTATTCTATTCATTTTAAGTCTTTTTAGAAGTTCTAGAAAACATAGTGGAGAAGTTAGAAGCTAAAGCTATTGGTGCAAATAAAGCTTTGGATTACCTGTGGATTTTGAGCATCCCTTCCATCCCTGACCCCTTAAGCAGCATCAGTAATTCAGTTTTTGATGATACAAATAGCCACAGTGACTGAAAACAACTTATCTACTTTTCATGACTGTTCAAGGAGCAGATTGCCCCGTTCCAGTTTCTGCTGGTGCTCTGTTCTTTGGCCCCACGGGTTGGCAGCCTTCTAAGCAGCTGCTGTCCCTTTTAGTGGGTAAAGGCATGAGGCAGTGATCACAGACACCTGGCTATGGCTTACAGCAGAGTCACACAACTGTATGCATGAAAGAGCAAGAGCTGGAGAGATTCTGATTTGGGCCCAAATCACTAATCATTTCACTTTATGAATAAAAGCAAATGCTTCATAAGCTTACATTATTTACAGTGCTCAGGGTTTTCAAACATCCACCCAAAGTTGAGGATCACTACACCACAGGGAACAGTTCAGTGAACTATGTACAGAATTTACAATGAAGTTTACACAGTAGTCTACATTCCATTAACAAATGTACCCTTGTGTTTTCTTTCAGATATATGTTTTTCTCTTCTGCTCATCCCAGAAACTGCTGAGTGAACCATCTTGAGCAAATGCTCGCACACTCCTTTCACCCCTTCCTATGATACATGATGATACTTTAACAAACAAATGGCGGTGCATCACCTGTGACAACATACTGTCCAAAATTTTTGACATGAGAAATCTTGGAGACCATTTTCTTCTGGAAGGCTTATCCTGTATCCTTTTTGTTTAACTTGGCAGATTGTAATAAAACCTTCCGAAACAAACATTCATAAAATAGTCATTGACACAAGGTAATGGAATTTTGTCAATTTCCCTTGACTTGCTTTTAGAGAAAGCCATCCTTTTGGACCCTAAAGCCACTATTCTTTTTCTCTGCACCACATTTTTTTCATTTAATTTTTAAGATACATCACTGAGTGTAATGCACAATAAAGGTGGCGTGTCCACAAACACAGATTATTCCCTCAGCAGATGTGCCAGCCAGCTGCTGTTTCTATTTGGCAACAGAGGAGATGGGGATACTAATCCTGGATTACTCAAGCAGAAATAAGCCTTTACCTGGGTCTTTGCCTCAGAGAAATGCTAACTGGAAGGAACATCTGATACTTTAAGCCAAGGAAAAATATGAGAAGAAGGGATGAGTGTGTAGTCACCACGGTCAAGTAGAAGGTGTGATGTCTACTCTCCCACAGCAGGGTAAGTCTTCCACAGAATCTGTCCCACAGTTGAACTGCGAAACATGGCCTTCTCTGGGTATAAATGAGGCATAAACCATTGTCAGTTTCTGTTCCTTGATGCGGGGGATTATGGCTATTTTCAGGGCAAAAAGAAATCAACTCAATAATAGTTAAACAATAACCTTTGTGTAACGTAATCTGAATCTTTCAAGAATGGGGGCCAGTGTGAGGACATTTAAGAATGTTTCATGACTTTTATGTTTTATTTACAACATTTAGGGCAAGAAGAGGGAGAAAGCCAGAGAAGGAAGATGCTTCCTTGTCACTGTTTGGCTTGGGAAGGGAGCAGAGAGGAATGGATTAGTCTGGGAGGTGTTCAGAAGTTTGGGACAAAGATCATGACCCACAAGCCTGACAGCTTTTCAATGCTTTGGGCTTCCATTGCCTCTGATATCAAAGTCATTTGATCGGATTTGCATAATGGCTGTGATCCCCATACCATATCATTCCCAGTGGGCAGTTCAGGCCTAATCATTTTACATTTTAAAAGGTTATAATGTAGGGGTTCAAAAATGTTTCTTTTTTTCTGCAAAAATGCTTTCTATCTAAAACTATAACAAAATCACTTTAGATTTTAAAAAGGAAAATATAGTACTGAAAAAATAATCTTTTATGAGAAGATCTTAATAGACACCTTCTCTGATTCAGTATTTCTTTCTTAAAAGCCTTTTAAAAGGCTTTGACATCAGAATGATAGTTTCTGTTCAGCATCAGGCATCTAATTTCTCCTCCTATGTTTAAAATGAATGACTGCATGGTGGCTCCTGGGTATTCATAGGCAATAGGAACCTCCCATTACAGACAGAGCTACATTCTATTCTGTCCTGGCATTGTACATGGCAAGGCATCTCAGCCTGCAGGGAGCTGAGCAGGACTTTACACGGATGACCCAGTGACCACAGTTTAAGGATAGCTCAACCTGGGAACCATGTTTACATTTCTTGGATACCTAAGTGAGAATTCGTCCTCAAAATTCCAGCACTCTTCAAGAAATTGCTGCGATTAGTTTATTTTTTTAATATGTAGTGGGATTTTTATGTTTTCGCTAGTGTCTGTTATTACATCCAGCTACACTAACTTATTTAAGGTTTGTATTTCCCTCTTGTTTTCTAAATGTATTTTTCATGTTCTCCTGTTGAACTCATTCATAGGAATTCCAGCTTCCCTTTCCAACTGTGACAATAATTTTAGCTGCTCCCACTGCTCTACACATTGATTCTCTTCCAAGAGGAGAGTCAGACTATCAAGTGAGGCAGTTGTCCTGATTAGTCCTGCCACTCCTTATCACATGCATGGGTCATGGCCTCCATCCAAGGTTAGCCAATTTGTGGTCTCACTCAACCCTGCAAATAAACATGTATAATTTTACAAACTCAGTCTGAAAGAAAACAGGATTTTAATGACATAAAATGGAAAGAACTCAACAGTAGCTTGTTGTGCATATTTGGAATTGTGTTGCTTTACTGAAAGTCATGAAAACCACGACCCAGAATAATCTATAAGCACAGACGTGGCCGTGAAATAATGACAGTGATTAATGAGTGTAGACAGGCAGAGTCCACACTTCAGTGGCTGGTGTGCATGGACAAAGACTCAGTGTTTTGTCATTATGAGTTTCTCCTCTTTCTGAGAGTTTTGCTACTTTAAAGGTTGTTTTAAACTGGAAATCTGGCTTTGGAGGAAGACAATGACATGTGGATGGGCATTTCCTGGGCCATCCATGTTGTAGTTTGAAATGCAGAGCTCAGCGAACGGAATCAAATTGTTCCAGTAGAGTCCTGTGTGATGTGTTTGTTGTCACCATTCGATGCATGTTTCCCTTAAGAAGGCTAAGCAATTCATACAACATGACTTAAGACTCGGCAGTGCAGATAACTGGCCAGGCATCCTTTTTGCAATACGCAAGCCTTGCTTTTCTCAGAGAAATAGCAATTTTTTTCCTCAAGTAAAAAAATTGGTCTCCACCTCCTTAAAATCCCAAACCACCTGGACCCCTCATATCCTTTCTCTACTTTTTGGAGCAGGAGCTGTGGAAATAAGACCACATGGTTCATGGCATCAAGACATTCTAAGGTTAATGAAGGACTGTCAGTAAGAAAAATATTGATTGTCCCCCAAACTCTTTATTCTTGAGCAGGAAAGAAAAACATTCTCAGTGACTACCAGTTAGATCAGGCTGGATTCTAGCACTAACTTGAACATTCAAGCAGTTTGGGGAAAAAAGTATCGTTAGGGATCTCCATGGCCATTGTTAGATGGACACAGTACGGTGGGTTTGGTTAAAAAAAAAAGGTGACTAATGCTAGCTTTGATGTCCCTCTTCTACAGAGCTGAGAAGCCTTTCTAGAAGGGACTAGGGAGAACTTCAGAGTGGCGGGGAACTGTTAGTGTTATATCCTGCTTCCTGGAAACCTGTGATTTGTCAATGGCTTTATTCTTCTGAGATGCTGAAGTTATTTTTTTTCTTGTCATTTAAAATTTTTTTTTGGCAGAATGAGATGATTACAGTTTACTCAGAGAACACAGTGCAGGTGGACAGCAAGGTCCACTGTACATTTTCATTTTCAAATTATTCAGTAAGATCCAGGGCAACTAGGAAATATGGCCAGCAATAGCTACCACCCATCTGCTTCTCCCTTTGTAAACAAAGCAATTGATGGAACTCTTACAGAGCTAGTAACCTGGACCACAGTAGACAGGAGAAAAAAACACCTTTGTGTTGTTGTTGTTGTTGAAGTAAACATGGTGTGATAATAAAAACTGACACGCAAGACTGAAAACCAGTTGGATGGCTGAATCTCTTACCTCAAAAACCACAGCAGTAATTGCTGTTGGGAACCTGTGGGGTTAGAAAACAAGCCAAGGAAGATAGTCTAAACCGAACCATGAGACTGACCTTAGTGGACATAATAAAGCCAATAAACGACATTAAAAAGAGAAAAGGTGATGGGGAAAAACATTCGGGACCACTTGTCTATGGAGTTCACGTCAGTTAAGTCAGGGATCTTCACTTTGAGTTGCGAGGCACGCCTGCGGATCCGCCCCTTGCCTGGCACCCCGTGCCTGTCCAGCCCGCGCCCGAAGCCCTCGCGGCTGCTCAGCGGCTTGCGGTACTGGATGCTGGCACTGTCATACGAGTACATGGTGGCCTTGGGGTCACTCACACCCGTGAGCACCTCGGAGCCACTGGTCTCATTCCTGATTTCCAGGGTGCTGAGGAGAATATTGCCATGGGCGTCGACCTGAGGGCAGAGAGGACATGCTCAGACACTCACCAAGGGCATTCTCAGTCATGCCGTCGTTGTCACAGGGTGACACATCGATCCTTCCCATTTCGTGTACACTGATCCATCTCAGGAGAGAACTGGCTGCATGTGCTGCCTGGCAACGAATTATCTATAATTCATCTGACTGTCTGTCAATCATTTGTCATTCATTCATTCTATCTATCAACCTTTTGTCTTCCTTTAGCTACCTATCACTCATCCTCTACCTCTATCTTCTGTCATCAATGTATAGCAACAAGCTATCTCTATCAATTGTCTGTCTACCTCCAGCAATTATAGTATTTATCTTCTATAAATCTGCCTATCAACTCTCTGTCAGCAGCTATTTGCCATCCATTTCTTATTTAGCATATGTCTAGTTTCTGTCATCTGTATCAACCATCAATTTCTATCAGTTATCCATCTGTTATCTATCTACTTATCATTGATCTATTAGTTATCTATTTTATCTTCTATTTACCTATTATGTCTACCTATCTCTATTAATTACTTATCACAGTTATCTATCTTCTATTATTATCTGTATACCTATTATATATCTATTAATTAATTTCTCTATCTCCAACTTTTTGTCTATCATCTATCTATTTCTATCAATTACCTATGTACCATTCGTTTATATGATCTATTTATTGTCTATCTGTCGTCATTATCTATCATCTGCTTCTCTATCTCTATCTATCTATATGTCTATCATATATTATTCATCTTCTATCTTTAACCACCTGTCTACTTATCTTGTTCTAATTTGATTTCTGTTGCTGCTAATGAAACATTTTGACCAAAACCCACCTGGGAAGGGAAGAGTTTATTTAGTTTAAACCCTAGATTATAATCCATCAGTGAGAGCAGTCAGGGCAGGAGCTAAAGCACAAACTTGGAGACAAGAACAATGGAGGAACTGTGCCTCCTTTCTGGCTTCTCTTTGTCTTACACAGCTGAGGTCCACCTGCCTAGGTGTGGTGCTACCCACAGTGGGCCAGGCCCTCACATGCAAACTACCAATCAAAACAATGCCTTCAGACACTAATTCAGGGCAATCTGAATTGGGCAATTCCTCAGTCCTGTGTCCCCCACCTCCCTGTGACTCCAGGTTATGTCAAATTGATAGTAAAACCTAACCAGCGCTTATCTTCTGTTCTCATCTGCTATCTGTTGCTGTGATAGAACACCATGACCAAAAGCAGCTTGGAGGAGGAATAGGTTTTTTTAATCTTGCAGCTTCTAGGTTACAATCCATCATGAAGGGAAATCAGATCTGGAACTTAAGCAGGGCAGGACTAGAACCAGGAACTGAACAGACTGGGGGCGGGGGAACACTGCTTTCTGACTTGTTCCCCATGGCTCTCTCAGTTTGGTTTTCAAAACAACCCAGGACTATCTTCCAAGGGTGGGACCACCCACAATAGGCTAGGCCCTCCCACGTCAATCATCAGTCAAGTAAATGTCCCCCCCCCATTATTGCCTATAAGCTAGTCTGATTGGCACGTTCTCTATTGAACTTTCCTCTTTTCAAGCTGATAAAAAGCTAACCAGCACATTGACCTCTAGTCAACCTGACAAATCAGTCCCAAACCAATAACCTTCCCTCTTGTTACTATCACAATATAAAACGTAATTTTACTTTAAAAGTCTCAGAGTCTTTAAAAATTTAAGCATTTTAAAAGATCCAGTTCTCTTTAACTCTTTACAAATCCAAAGTTTCAACTATGGGTTCCTACAAAATTAACAAACAAACAACAAACAAACAAACAAACAAGTCAAATACTTCTTATTCCAAGAGAGCAGAACCAGGACATAGTTGCAATAAAACCAAAGCAAAATAAAAATCCAACAGTATAACTAGATCAAGGTCTCATGCCGGGCGTTGGTGGCACATACCTTTAATCCCAGCACTCAAGAGGCAGAGGCAGGTGGATCTCTGTGAGTTCTAGGCCAGCCTGGTCTACAGAGCGAGTTCCAGGACAGCCTCCAAAACAATACAGAGAAACCCTGTCTCGGAAAACCAAATAAAATAAATAAATAAATAAATAGATCAAAGTCTCTCATTTGGGACTCCCAATCCTCTGGGCTATAAAGGGCTTAGGCAGCTCTGCTTCTCTGGTGTTAGTCTCCACAACACACCCCTACACAAATCCTGTCTTGTAGGCTCAGCCCTATTCACTCCACATCTGCTGCTGTTATTCTTTGTGGACATCACATGGTCTTGGCATCTACAAAATGCTGGAGTTTCTACTGTAGCTGAGGCTACACTCTCATCAATGGCTTCTCCTGGTCTTTCTTTAGGGTCTCCAACTTGGCCACACAGTGTCAAACGTCAGTTTCTCTCCACTACTCCTCAGCTTCTCTCACACTACCAAAACCAGTATAAACACGTGAGGACTCGTGCACACTACCAGATTTGGCTACCAGCATTTACCCCTGTGGACCACAGTTTCTGGGTGATGACTCTGAGAAGATACTCTCTTGAAGATTTCACCTCAACCAGACTGGTATTTTCTCAATGACAGTTGGTTTCTCAGCCTCACCTAACCATGTCAGGTGTCCTAGTACAGCAAAGGTTTTGCTTTAGCTGTGGTCGCTGGTTAATCACAGCTGCTTCTTCAGCCCCAGTTGACAAGAAAACATAGTCTCAGTTCAAGATATCATATGAACGGCCTCGATAGAATCTCTACTTGTCTCTGAAATTTCCCAAGCCAGGCCTCCATGTTTTGCATCTTTTTTTTTAACACTTTTATCTTCCAAGCCTATTGAACAACCCAGCAATTTGGTTGAACTGAACACTCAATGGTTTTTCAAACCTTTAATTCCAAAACAAATCACCTCCAACCTTCAAAGAACCAGTATGGTTAGACCTATTACAGTAGTACCCCAGTCTCTGGTGCCAATTTCTGCACTCGTTTGCTTTTTGTTGCTATGATAACACAACTTTGGGGAGGGAAAGGTTTATTTCAGCCTATAGTTTATCATGATGGGGCTTAGGGACAGAACTCTATGCAGGAACCCGAAGGTGGGAACTGAAGAAGAGACCATGGAGGAGCCATACTGTTTACTGTCTCCTACACTTGCTTCTAAGGGCATGGGGTAGCTGTTTCCCTTTGCCTGAGTGTGTTGTGTGATATTTTGATTGTGTTCTGACAAATAAAGCTTGCTTGGAGTCAGAGGGTGGTGCTAGCCTCTAACTGACCAAAATTAACCATAGAGGTTTGGAGGACTGTAAACAGAGAGGAGACAGGAAGTAGTAAGGCAGGGCTGAGAGAGAATCTTGGCCCTTTTGGACAGAGGAACAGAAAAGGTGGGGGCAATGGGTGACTACTCCACGCTTCTCTGATCTTTCAGGTTCTTATCCTAATATCCAACTTCCAATTCTTTTATTGATAAAGATTTATTAGATTAATGCTTCATGAGTGGGATGCAGTTCTAGCCTATGGTGTGTGTGTGTGTGTGTGTGTGTGTGTGTGTGTGTGTGTGTGTTCACACCATATAGAGTGAGCTGGAATTTGGAAAAGTCATGCCTAAGACAATTTGTTATTGAAACTGCACCCCTGAAAAGATAAGGATACATACTTTAGAAGATGAAGAATAGAACACATGGCTTCTAGGTATGAAATACTCAAGAAAAACACGAACCACAGATTGTTAAGATGCGAATCTCATTGAAGCGCATTGTTGATATTGGGAATCATGAAGACATGTTTTTCCATCAAATATTAATGGTTTCACTAGAAGGAAAAATTATCGTGAGCTGTAGGAAGCTTCATGAAAGCAGTGACTGGAATAGAGTCTGGAAGGATGTAGAGATGGCAGAACAAGGGGCTGGGGGGCCAAAGCTGTGTTTTCATTTTTACTTTTGTTACTAACTGATGTTAAGTGACCTTGGCTTAGTCAAGATCTTAGCATTCTCATGCATAAAATGATGATTTCTCCTAGGTGTTTGATAGTCTCCAGTCTTTGGTAGTCTTTGACCATGGTGTATAATAACATTGTAACAGCACTGTAAAAAATAAAACTTGCATAACTGAATCCCTCACCTATATTGTATACATTGTAAAGCTAAATCATTATGAGCAGTTAAATGAACAAGACACCAGAATAAGCCAGAGGTGCCTGCAGGTGCTTCTCATTAAACAGAAGCCTGGGTGTGTCTTACTGTATTTTTCTTAACCTGGTGCATGTACAAAGACCTCTAAAGCCTTCGGGAAGAAAGTAAATCTTTTAAAGCAGTCTCTGTTGTTGAGTTAGAAATAATAGTTTCAAATGGTGTTTTGACACATGAAAGAATGAATCTAGCTCTAGAACTTTCTATGAAAGTTGATCACATTGCTTAATTGTTAGATCAACAGAACAGTGTTCTTTTTGAGGCAAATTTAAGAAAAGCCATGTAAGAGTTCTTTTAAAATTCCAGTAATCCTTCTTACTAGAATAGGATTATTGTAAAAGCTGGTGTTATAGACTCTGTGTGTGTGAACAGGTATGTGTGTGTGTGTGTGTGTGTGTGTGTGTGTGCGCGCGCGCGCGTGGTGTGTTAGATGGCCTGTTCATGCAGCACTGATACAGCTCCCTCCAAAATAAGATCCACAAGGAAAATGTTGATTGCTTTTTCACATCTTCAGACACATCAAGGAAGTACGTTGTGCCTTGTCTCATCTGTACTGGATGAAGGCTCCCTAGTTAATGAGGGATCAACATCTAAGTGGGTCACGACTCAGGTAACAGGATTTTTTTTTTTTTTTTGGTTTTACGAGACAGGGTTTCTCTGTATTGTTTTGGAGGCTGTCAGCCCAGCCCGGCCTTGAACTCACAGAGATCCGCCTGCCTCTGCCTCCCGAGTGCTTGGATTAAAGGCGTGCGCCACCACCGCCCGGCTTCGGGTAACAGATTTTTAAACATGGAATCAGATGGAATTGAAGCAAAGAGAATGTAAACATGATGGATCTTTACGGAAGTGCAGACTA